AATCCTGTAATCAGAGGAGATCTGATAATGAAAGAGTCTTATTAAGCGCACATTAATTAAAGTGTGTGTGTGTTAGTTATTCAAGGTAGATAGGCTACGGAGAGCAGCGCGGTCCATTAACTGTGGAAACGCGTTTGATTAACTAATAAAGCGGATGATTGTGATGGGATGTCCAGCCCCAGTGGACTCAGTGTGGAAGCTAATCTGTCTCTCTGTCATTAATTAATTCACATGAAATCACAGTGAGAAAATAACACGCGCACTGCGGCACTAAACAAAGTATTATGACAAGCGATTCTGTCTTGATGCATTAAAACACAGGTGTCAAACTCAGTTCCAAAAGGGCCGCAGCTCTGCACAGTTTAGTTCCAACCCTAATTAAACACACCTGATCAAACTAATTGAGTCCTTCAGGCTTGTTTAAAACCTACAGGAAAGTGTGTTGGAGCAGGGTTGGAACTAAACTGTGCAGGGCTTCAGCCCTCCAGCAATTGAGTTTGACACCCCTGCATTAAAAGGATTGATTTAATGTTTTACAGTAAACTGTAGCGCCATCTGCTGCTCACATGAGGATCTACACTATTGGTCACTAGATTGATTGTCAGTAAACTAAAGTTAAATATTTGTTAGGAAAATCGTTGTCAAAATACTACAAAAACATCACATTACATTTAACATTTACAGGAATACAAAATAAAAGCATGTTAATTACATTAAATAAAATAAAATAAACAAACTGAAATAAAAAAACATTTAAACTAACAGGATAAATAAATAAACACTAATAAAAACACACTTTCATTTGGTTTACACTTGCAAAGCATTTCAAATAAAAAAAGGTTAATAAATAACATTAAATTAAACATTAAATTAAATTAGGGCTGCACAATATTGGAGAAAATTGACATTGCAAGATTGTTTTTCAGCGATACACATCGCGATATGAAATATTCTTCACTAGATAGATTGAATACCTCTTTTTGTGTATAACTTATCTTTCAGAATGATTAGGGGGATCTTACATCTGCATAAATGATTAAAATTTAATGCACATTATATATTTGACGTTTGAAGTAATCTCACCCGAATTCCCTTAAAGTGGTAGCTCTGCCCCTTTACAAAAACTGTCAATATTTTGCTTCTATTAAAGCTCTAGATTATTCAAATTACTTTTAAACTTGATTTTTAGTGGAGAAAAGTCATACAAATGAGAGAAAAAATGCTTTATATTATATTTGTTTGGTCTTAATAGCAGTCGGACACAAATAAATAAAAATATCACGTGAATGACACGGTGGTCTTTACTATAAAACTGTGTGTGTGTTTATGAAAGCTACAAATGCTGTTGTTCTTGTGCCTGAACGCTTTAAATGCTTTAATGCCTGTTGTATTTAACAGGGAAAAAATGCAATTAATAAACTTTAAATGGTTAAACTTTGCCATTAATCTACAACTCCTGGTCAACAATAGTCCATACACTCTCAGAAATAAAGGTACAGGAGCTGTCACTGGGACAGTACCTTTTCAAAAGGTACATATTTGTACCTGAAGGGTGCATAACAGGGTACTTTTAGGTACATTTGGACACTAATGTGCACCTTTGAGGTTCCACTTTAGACTCCTTGGGTACAAATAAGTATCTTTTGAAAAGGTACTGCCCCAGAGACAGCTCCTGTACCTTTATTTCTGAGTGTGTACTTGACATTGAGATCCTGCGATTGGACCATTGCAGATAAGCATATTGCAATCTCAATGCTGAAACAATACATGTGCAGCCCTAATATATATATATATATATATATATTAAATGCATTATTGATAATAATAAACATTTAAAAACCTATAAATTAAAAATAAAAATTATTATAAATGAATAAATGACATTATAAATTAAAGAATAACTGTATATGGTTCAAATTAGCTGTATTGTATTTATAGTTGTAGCTATACTTTAAATTTATATTTAAGAAACAAATAAGATGTTCTTAAGAAAAAAATATTGAATTTATTATCTTTAATTATCTTAGAAAATGTCTTAACCTATTTCTGAAGATTTTGAGTCCAGACCCTCGTGAGTCGCAACATTGATTGGTTGTTTGATTGACTTATTGATTGATTGATTGACTGACTGACTGAATGATGTTAATTCTTAGTAAAAGGACACCAAGTAATGTCTCTAGTAATACCAAACAGTTGTATTGAATATTTGGAGTTTATTTAAGGCTTTCAGCAGCAGTTCATAACAAACATAATCAAACCACATACACAGAAACAGTCTCATCACATGCCAATCATCCAAATCAGAGCATAAACCATGCAAAAAAAAAAAAAAAAAAAAAGACAAATAAATCTCATTCTGATATACAGGAGCAGATGCATGGATTTATGATCTTAAAGCACAGCAGCAACTCACAGCTCAATATGTGTGTAAACATTTTGATTCAGATTTCATGCCAGATTTCTACTTTCTCAACACATTTGTAAATATATCACTATTCTGATGAAAACTTAATCAAGAGGGTAATCTATTGCTAAAATATCTGAAACTTCATATGAAATATACAACACAATCTCACGGCAATTCGTAACTTTTTCATTTAGTGGCTAATTCGTATGAATTCGTACGATCTAATTCGTACAATTTAGTACGATTTGCTTATCCCCCAATGACGTTTGGGGTTAGGGGTAGGGTCAGGTGCCACGCCTCCTTTTTAAAATCGTACCATTTCGTATGACTGAACTCGTACGAATTCGTACGAATTAGCCACTAAACTGGCAAAACGTAAAATACTTACGTTTTCTCGTGAGATCAGGCGGGAAATATATGATAAAGCAGTTAAAAAGTAAAACATTGAAGCTGAAAATTGGCACAGAGAGCAACAGCGTGCATGCTCTAGCATTCAGTCACATTTAGTGTTTGGTGTTTTATCCAAAATAAAAGCATAAACACTAAGAAATGCAGGGTCATTTAAACCCAAACTGAGTAAAATATGGACTTACCCAAACATTGGGTTAAATCTGGTCCATTTAACTTAATTAAAAATCAAACCGGCAGTTGAGGTAAAATTACTAACCCAGAATTGAGTTGAAATAACCCAGTATTTTTAAGTGTAATTATAAAGCTCAATTTTTAAAGCTCAACAAAAGTTTGTCCAGGTTTGATAAATCAGTAACATACAGAACGCTTCAGGACACATGATTGAGTGTCAGAGCCATGCGGCTGTGTGTAAAACCTGCTCCACAAACATGCAAATCAAGAGAGAAACAAACACACATATATACAAGATCAGGGGTCAAAAATAAAGCACATGAAATGAAGTAAACACAAAACACCATTCTCACTTCCTTTCACATCTGTAAAGTGAGACATCGCATTATTATTTGCTCGTTTTGTCATAACCTTCATCATATTACCCTCTGTTAAAGTCCTCTATTGCTTTAAGTGTTGTAAAGATTTCAAAAAGACTAAATGACCATTAAAATAATGCCTGAACTGTTGTTAAGCTATTGGATGACATTAAATGCCCCTCCCACTTTGCCTTGATGATGTCATTGGAAATTAAATTAGTTTCAGAGTCCGTAAGTCCCCTTCGGCTTAGTCCCTTATTTATCAGGGATCGCCACAGTGCACTGAACCACCAACTGTTTCGGCATATCTTTTACACAGCAGATGCCCTTCAAGCTGCCACCCAGTACTGGGAAACAAACAAACAAACAAACAAACAAACAAACAAACAAACAAACACAAACACAAACACACACACACACACACAATTCTTTATTTATTTCCCCCAGTAAGGGGTAGCAGCAGGAAGGGAGTAAAACATATGCTAGAATAGTTGGCGGTTCATTCCACTGTGGCAACCCCTAATAAAACAAGGGACTAAGCCAAAGTAAAATGAATGAATATATAAACTGTTAAAATAATATATAGTAATACATTTTATTATAATATTTTTATGAAATATTTAAATAGAAGTAAATTTATTTGATCCAGGATCCAAATTGACATTACTTCGTTTAAAACTTATTAAATAATTTTATTTTAATTAAATGTCATTTGTATGAACTTCCTATTAATCAACGAATTCTGAAAGAAAATGTGTATCATAGTGTTTTCCTCAAAAATAATACATTATAAGTGTGGAGATATGATACCAAGGTGTCCATAATCCTGGACCAGGCCGTATCCTGAGCAGATGCTGTGGTGTTTATGGAGGAGCTGAGAGCATGACACTGATTCCTGAAAGACCACAGTGACAGACAAGTCTCCGCATTGATCCTGAAGGGCCAGTCTGAACACCTGCTGGTGACCTACTCACACCTGCAGCTTCTCTACGATGGACATCCAGATTTCTCCAGTCTCCTGCACCTAAACTGCAGCTCTGCACAAGAAGTTTGGCCAGAGGAGGAATGCTCTTCTGAGAGCCTGGTTTCTCTCGTGTTTCTTTCCCCTTCACTTTTGTCAATTGGTGAATTTTTCCCTCGCTGCTGTCGCCACTACCTTGCTTGGTTTGGGACTTGTGGAGCTGCGCATCGATGGATTTGCTCTTCAGTGTTTGGACTTTCAGCAGTGAAACTTAAACAACACTGAACTAAACTGAACTTAAACTCTGAAATCTGACTTTAAAACTGACTTTACTAGAACTTCTATGTGAAGCGGCTTTGACACAATCTACATTGTAAGTTTTATGTAAATAGACATGAATTGAATTGAATAAAATCAGCATATTGCAATTAAATTTAAAGAATCACGTGAATAGTAATAAGTAATGATGTTGAAAATAAAGGTTTCAATAACAGGAATTAATTCATTTTCATAATATATTTAAATAAAAACCAGCTATTTAATATTGTAAAAATATTTTAAAACTGTTACTGTATATTGTGATCAAATAAATGCAGCTTTGGTGAGCACAAAAGACTTTTAACCAAATAATTAAAAAAATTATAATAATAAAAATTATAATAATAATCATAATAATCATAATGATAGTGTATTAACTATTTAGAACCATTTATGGAAACTTCTCTGACATTGTTTACAATATAATATATGGTTTTATGCAATAACCCCCAATAATCCATGGCTTTTCTAATAAGCATTTCAAATAAAGGGTTAAGAAATTCGAAATAATGTTAACATTAAACACACACAATGAGGACGAAGACACTGAGCACTTCATAACAAGGAATTAAATAAATAAATATATAAATATCCGTCTTCGTCTGATTCTCCTACTCTGGTCTGTGGCGTCTCCGTAATCCTTCAGCCAGCTCTTCTGGAAGTTTCTGAGTGTCAGAGACATCGTCTACACTGTCCTCAAGGGAAGGCAGACTAGAATCACTGTCCATTTCCTCTTCCTGCTGTGTGTCCACTTCCTCTTCTACGTCCTCTTCCACTTCCTCTTCTGTCTTCTGTGTTTCTGCACTGGTCTGTGTTTCCTGGCTGGTTTCTGGCTGCGTTTCTGCTGCAGATAGATTCTGGATGAGCTGGTCTAGATTGCGTTCACAGCTCGGCTCTAAAGGGAAATAATCCAGCCATTCGCATAACTCACATTCAATTACTTCAAATAAGATTAACTAAACAGACTAATGATGCTGTTTACTATCTGAAGATTTGTATGGTTGTTTGTTTTTCTCTCTTAACATCCATTGCAGTGTCTTTTTGTAGATCATATATAGCTGGGAAATAAGTACTGAACACGTCACAATTTTTCTCAGAAAACAAATTTCTAAAGGTGCTGTTGACTTAAAATTTTCACCGGATGTTGATAACAGCCAGATAAATCAATATATGCAAAGAAAACAATATTAATTACCTTACAAATAAAGTTATGTATAATAAGATGTAATGATGCAGGGAAGAAGGATTGAACACATGAAGAAAGGGAGGTGAAAGCCCAGACAGCAGCTGAAATCTCTCAGTAGCTCTTCAGCAACTCTCTGCTCTTCCTCAGTGTAAATGAATATCAGCTGCTTCAGTCCAACATCTACATTAGCAGAAGATGAAACCAGGGTGGACATGTCAGCAAGACAATGATCCAAAAAACAGCCAAGGAGACTCTCAGATGCTTTCAGAGAAAGAAAATCAAGCTGTGGAATGGCCCACCCAATCACCTGACCCCAATCCAATAGAGAATACAAAATAAAGCTCAGATTTCATAGACGAGACCCACAGAAGCATCAAGATTTTGAGCACAAATCTGTGAGAAACTCACACCTGAGCAATGCATGAGACTTTATTCTTCATTCTACATGAGAGGCGTCTTTAAGCTGCAGCACCACATAACATTTACATTTAGCCATTTAGCAGATACTTTTATCCAAAGCGACTTACAAATGAGGACAAGGAAGCAATTTACACAACTATAAGAGCAACAATGGATACGTGCTGTAGGCAAGTTTCAGGTATGTAAAGTGTAAGAAGCAAAACATTAGTAATTATTATTATATATTTTTTGAGTACAGTTAGCGGTGGAGCCAGAGAGGCAATTGCAGATTAGTAAGGAAAGTCGAGACTAAATAGTTGAGTTTTAAGTCGTTTCTTGAAGACAGTGAACGTCGTTCACAGTGACTCTGCCGTGAACAGTGACTCTGCCGTTCTGATGCAGTTAGGGAGTTCAATCCACCAACTGGGCAGATTGAACGCGACAGTTCGGGAAAGTGATTTCTTTCCTCTTTGGGATGGAACCACGAGGCGACGTTCATTCACAGAACGCAAGTTTCTGGAGGCACATACATCTGCAGAAGTGAGAGCAGATAAGAAGGAGCAAAGCCAGAAGTCGCTTTGTAAGCAAACATCAGAGCTTTGAATTTAATGCGAGCAGCAACTGGCAGCCAGTGCAAACGGATGAGCAGCGGAGTGACATGTGCTCTTTTAGGTTCATTAAAGACCACTCATGCTGCTGCATTCGGAGCAGCTGAAGAGGCTTGATAGAGTTAGCTGGAAGCCCGGCTAGTAGAGAGTTGCAGTAGTCCAGTCTGGAGAGAACAAGAGCTTGAACAAGGAGTTGAGCTGCATGTTCAGATAGGAAGGGTCGGATCTTTCTGATGTTATAGAGTGTGAATCTGCAAAATCGAGCAGTTCTAGAGACGTGCTCAGAGAAGTTTAGCTGGTCATCAATCGTTACTCCAAGGCTTTTCACCGTTTTGGATGCAGTAATGGTTGCCCCATCCATCTAGATTGAAAAGTTATGATGTAGAGTCGGGTCGGCAGAAACTTCAAGTATTTCCGTTTTTGCGAGGTTAAGCTAAAGATGATGATGTTTCATCCAGTGTGAAATATAACATAAGGCTTTTATATAAAGTATTCAATAGATTTCAGTGGTTCAGCACTTTCTTCTTGTGTCATTTCATTGTGTCATGTCATTACACATAACTCATTTGTCAGATTTTTGTTGTGTTTTGTTTTTATGTGTTTACTCTTTGGGTTCTGAGTTTTGGTGTATGGCTTGGGCGAAAACTGGTTCAATCCCACGTCAACAGCTCCTTTGGAAATAATATTCCAAGAAAAGGACATGACGCGTTTAATACTTCCCATCCCCCACTGTATGTCACCAATGTCATCAATGTGTTTTATTTGACATTTAGCACAGTTTATTGTTACATTATGGGTTTGTCTGTCTGTTCATTGTTTTTCTATGTCGTAAAAACTATAATAAAAAAATACCCCAAAAATTAAATAAACTGATTTTTTTTCAGCTATATATATATATATATATATATATATATATATATATATATATATATATATATATATATTTAATTTGGTTTACACTCTAAGTGGGTGTAATCACACTAAGTATCGTTATCTTGAACCTTGCATGAGTGCAATGGTCCCTCGGCCCCCTCGCCTGCACTCACACTGCATATTTTCCCCTCCAAGCCTGAGCACGCTTACGTCATCAATAGGCAAGACAAGGCAAGTTTATTTATAAAGCACATTTCATTCAGAGCGGCAATTCAATGTGCCTAACATAAACAGGAATAAAAGATACAAGTGTAAGAGAATAAAAAACAATAAAAATGGATTAAAAACAGATAAAAATGTGTTAAAACAGGTTATAAAAAGAATGAAAAAGAAAAGAAAAACATAATAGTGCGATCCGTGGGCCGTAGCACAGTGCTCATTCAGTAAAGGCACAGCTAAACAGATGTGCGTTCAGTCTTAATTTGAACATGCCTAATAATGCGACTGTTCAGCACAATAGAGATTGCTTTAGGTATATTGTTTTTTTATTATTTTAAGTCATTTGATATGCAGTGACACTGAGTCAAATATATTGCTGAATAGATCCACCACTTTTGACACTCATAAACTTTCATGACAGTCATCGTGCTGCAGGAATTAGGAAGTGTGCTGAAGGTGCAGCTGATGTGCAGTGAGGAGTTTGCATCTTTAATAAATTAAGACAGTTTGTGTTCTTTGAGAAGTATGAATGATTAATAAATGCATATCAAACAGTCTATCAATCAATCTATATCTTAAAAGTGACATCGCGGTTTTAGTTTTGCACTCACACTACAAGAGTACCGCATCAAAGCCCAACTGAACCGCGCTCTGGCACATCTCTTCCAGTCAGGCCACGTCCGGCCAACTGAACTGCACCTGGGCATGATTCGGAGCACTCACACTTGTCAAGCAAACTAGTAAATGAAGGTCAAACGTGCCTGACCACAGTTTAGATAGCCTAGTGTGAGAACACCCTTACAAAAACATTCAAACTAAAACAGGTTAATAGGTTATGACTAGAATTGCATAAAAAAAATCTTCCCTTTGCTAAACAGAAATTGTAGAAAACATTATACAGGGGGGCTAATAATTCAGGAGGGCTAATCATTTTAACTTCAACTGTATGTGTGTATACAGTTACAGGTGTGTTTACCTTCTATCCTGATGTTTGGACACTCCATGCCCCTCTTCTTCATTAGCTGGCGAATGCACTGCAGCTGCGACATGATCTCGTTCTTCTGCTCCATGGCAACAGATTTCACACTGCAGAAAAACACAGAGCGCATAAACAACAGGTGGAAAAAAAACAAAGCAGACGCACAAACATCTACATCTGAACACCACACTCAGCGCTTTTGCATAACCAAAACAAAACCTGTGGTGTTTTTTTATCCAGCACATCAATGCACGCCTCAGCGGAGCTCATATAAAGCACACTGCTTTACACGGATTCAACTTCATGCTCATTTTCATATGCATGAGCCAACATTTAAATGGACTATTCAGATACTTCATGAGATAATTGGAGATATGTAGAGGAAAATTTGGGCATGTGTTTTGAAATAGGAGGCCCTTATTTATTTATTCATTTATTTGATTTTTTTTAAATTAATAAATTAATAAATTAATTAATTAATTTATTTATTTATTTACTTATTTTTTTCTATTTATTTATTCATTCATTTATTTATTCAATAATTTCTTTATTTAGATGTTTTTGTATTATTTATTTTTCTTATTGATTAATTCATTTATTTAGTTTGTTTCTCTGTTTATTTATTTATATTTTCTATTTTTATTTAATTATTTTTCTATTTATTTATTTTTCTATAGATGTTTTTAATTTTTTAATTATTTATTTATCCGTTCATTCATTTTTCTATTTATTTATTTATTTTATTTGTTTTTCTATTTATTCATTTTTCTACTTATTTATTTATTTTTTCTATTTATTTATATATTTGTTTATTTTTCTTTTTATTTATTTTACTAATTTATTTTTCTATTTATTTAATTATTTTTATATTTTTCTATTTTTTTATTTATCTATTTATTTTTCTATTTATTTTATTTTACTATAAAATGTATAATATGTATATATTATTATTATTATATTTATGTATGTGCATGTTTGTGTCTACATGGATACTTGTGTATATGTAGAGCAGGCATATATAATTTTTGTATTTGTTTATATTTCCTTTGCTATATTTGTTTTCCCCTTTGTAATATGTTGTACCAACTGCATATGAATGTATGAAATCATTTCTGCTGTAATTTTCTGTTTTGTAGTTGTTTTTTGTTATAAAGAGTTAAAATGAAAATTTTAATTTTGCTCATGCAAGATATATACCAGAATAAGACTTACTGTGGTAAAAAAGTAACATTTTTATGGGTATATTTTTTTGGCAACAGCTAAAATGTATTGTGTGGGTCAAAATGTATTAATACATTTTCTTTTATGACAAAAGTCATTAGAATATTAATCAAACATGTTCCATGCAAATATTTTGTACATTTTCCAGTGTAAATATGAAAATAAATAAACATTTTCTCAAATATATGCATGCATGTGTATATTTATATGTAGATAATAAATATAAACAGTACACACATCTTAATTGCTTTTATTTTGAATGTGATTATTAGCACTAATTTTACATAATTAATTAAGCACGAGTCTCAACAAAAGTGTTATCAGTTCTTATTATGCTAAGATTTCAGATTTTTTAATGGCAAAATATCATCCAATCCTATCACAAATTGACACTTATGACCTTTTAGTTTTGTGGTCCAGGATCAGAATTGTGCTAAAAGCCTCTCACCAGTTTGTAAGCGGGTCCAGTTGTGTCAGTATAGAGTTGAGCATCTTCTCCGTCTGAGCCAACCTTTGCTCCAACTCATTCAGCTGATTCTCTGTGGAAAACGCCATTAATATTATCATTAGCATCAATCTACTTTCTATTTTTTAGAGGTTTGGGCTGGGCGGTATGACAAAAGTCATCTCATACCCTGATAATGATATACATGATGATGCAGTACCACAGGGGTGTTCAAATTCGGTGCTGAAAGTGTCCTGCTGAGTTTATCTCCAACCTGCTTCAACACACCTGCTAGGAAGTTTATAGTATATCAGCTTGATTAGCTGGTTCAGGTGTGTTTGATTAAGGCTGGAGCTAAACTCTCCAGGACACCAGCCCTCCAGGACTGAGTTTGGACACCTCTGAAGTACCATTTCTGCAATTTCAATTAGTTAATAGTTTAATTAATGATGATTAATGATTACAGGTCCAACATTAAAATAAAGCAAAATATTGTTTAATAAAACGCTTTGTACTTTCAACATTGCAACTTTATTATGAAGCAGTTGTTTGTGTTTCGGTCTGCATCCCCATAATGTTTTGTAATATTGCGCCTGTCTAAATTATGAAAAAGTATTGCTGTAAACAATGTATTTTGTGACACCAAGATATAAATGATAGAGCATAATATGAAACGATATATATGATGATATTACACATTTTTTATATCTGAAATTCTCCAAAAGCCACATTATAAAATACATAAGGCTAACAACAAATGATGCAAACTGATCCTAAACATCTTCTGAGTGTGTTTCTGTGCTAGTATCTTGGCATGCATTGGATAAGTGAACAACTTATTTTCTAGTAAACATGACACAGTATGTGAAATGACTGGAGTTTTGGTCAGTCACGCATGCACACACGCACCTGTTTCCTCGGATTTCTTCACTCCTCGAGCTGTTTTGGCTTTTTGAGCTTCAGAGTCGCTTGCAGACTTTATCTGAAATCAGACAAATGAAGACATGATCAGCACTTCACATCATTACCAGAGGTAATCATTTGAGGTAAACATACACAAATTAGAACAGTCAAACTAATTTCCGGAGCTCTGCACAGTTTAGCTCCAGCCCTGCTTCAACACATCCACCTGCAGGTTTCAAACAAGCCTGAAGGACTCAATTAGTTTGATCAGGTTTGTTTAATTAGGGCTGAAACTAAACCCTAGAGCTGCCGCCTTTCACTGACTTAGTTTAACATCTAACATGAGTAATGTTCGTAAAAATTCAAGATTTTAGATTTACAATATACTAGTCATTTAGTGTTTACTGTATTTTTAAATATTTATTACAAATTATCTTAATTATTGCTAAATTTTGTCGGCAAATGTGTAAATATTATAAAGTGTGGAAATATAAATATATATATATATATATATATATATATATATATATACATATACATATACATATATATATATATATATATATATATATATATATATATATATATATATATATATATATTACTATATAGTATTAGTGCTATAAATTAAAAATATATTAGTGCTGTTAAGCAATTAGTCATGAAAAATGGCATTCAAATTAAAAGTTACTCTGTGTGTATAAATATTGTGCATATGTAAAAAAAAAAATCATATAAAATACAAAACTAATATATTTGCATATATATTTCTATATAATTTTTTATTGAATATAAATATAAATTTCTAAACATAAACAAAACTTTTTCAAATATATATGTGTTTGTGTGTGTGTATAAATTAGGGCTGAACAATATATAGTTTGAGCATCGATATCGAAATGTGTGTATCTGCAGTAGTCACACTGCAGGATTAGATTTATTAAATATTTAACGATTAAGATATTATATTGTATATAATATGGTTATATTTTATTCTTACAGTGACGACTATGCTAATTTACATGTTATTGTTCAGTTTCTGTATTGTTCAGAATACTGTTAAAGTCCCCAGAAAAACATAAAGGATACTACTATATGGACTATCTATTTATTTTTGCTTGTAAATTATTATAGTTTATGAAGATCCACGACATATGAAATCCAATTAATGAAATCTTTCCAAATAGAGCTATGCAAATCATCTGGTGAAATAATATTCATATTGCAATATATTTATCACAGTAAAACTAAATTATTAATATGTGTGTGTATAAATATATAATTAAAGGTCACCTTGAGAAACTTGTAAGCAGCAAAGAGGCCGACCCCGATGGCGTAGATGGGCATGAGTGTGAAGACGTAGCCCTTGTTGTTGTTGGATTTGTATTTGTCGCTCTTGAGCTCCTGCTCCATCAGTTTCTTCATCTGCTGCATGTTTTCCACACTGTGGCTCATCTGAGGTGCTGCGCCCTTCTGGAGCTGCTGCTGATTCCTCACAGCTCCTGCACCGATACCCGGACCGGGACCTGCTGCAGGAAAACACACAAAGTAGTAATAATAATAATAAGCGGAGTAATATTAATAATAATAAGCAAAAGTAAATAATATGCAGATTATTAATAACCAGAGTGATAATAATAAAGTAATAACAATAAAGAGAGTATAATTAATAAGCATGGCAATAATGATAGGCAAAATAATAATAATAATAATAATAATAATAATAATACGCAAAGTAACAATAAACAGAGTATTAATAATAACCAGTGCAATAATAAGCAAAATAATAATAACAAGCAAAGTTATAATAATAATAATAATAATAATAATAATAATAATAAACAGAGTAATAATAATAAAGTAATAATAAACAAAAAAATAATAATAGAGTCATAATAATAATAATAAACAGAGCAATAATGAGTAATTATAATAATAAGCCAAATAATGATATGCAAAGTAACAATAAACAAAATAATAATAAACAAAGCAATAATAATAAGCAAAATAATAATAACAAACAAATTTATAATAAACAAATAATAATAATAAACAGAGTAATAATAATAAAGTATTAATAAACAAAGCAATAATATTAATAAAATAATATTAAACAAAGTAATAACAAGCAAAGTAATAATAAACAAAGTAATAATAATAAGCAAAGTAATCATAATAATAATAATGAGAGCAAAGATAATAATAAGCCAAATAATTATAATACGCAAAATAACAATAAACAAAAAATAATAATAAACAAAGCAACAATAACAAGCAAAATAACAATAACAAGCAAAGTTATAATAAACTGATAACAACAACAATAATAATAATAGTAATAATAATAAGAAGAGTAATTATAAACAGAGTAATATTAATAATCAGAGTTATAATAAACAGATAATATTAATAATAATAATAATAATTGAAATAATAATCAGTAGAGTAATAATAAACAGAGTAATAATAAAAGTGATAATAAATTAAGTAATAATAAGCAAAATAATAATAATAAGCAAAGTAATAAAAAACAGAGTAATAATTATAATAATAAGTAATAATAATAATAAACAGAACAATAATGAGCAGAGTAAAAACAGAGTAATACCAATAAGCAAAATAATCAGTAATAGTAATATCTATAAGCAGAGTTATAGTAAACAGTCATATTAATAAGCAGAGCAATCAGAGAAATAATAAGCAGCGTAATAATAAGCAAAGAAATAAAATGAACAGCAAATAATAAATAAACAGTAATGATAGCAGACAGATTAATAATAAACGGAGGAATACTAATAATAGAGTAACGATAATAAACAGAGTGACAATGATAATTAACAGAGTAATAATAATAACAAGCAGAGTAATAATAAGCAAAGTAATGTTAACCAGAGCAATAATAATAATAGATGTATAAAAATCAGAGTTATTTAAACAGCAGCTCCACACCTGCTCTCCGGTTGCTCCGCGGCTCGTACGGTTGATTGTCTCTGCTGCCGCCGCCGAACAGCCTCGGGAACAGCACGAACACCAGCAGCACCGCGGTGAACGCCATGACGAGCTGCTGCGAGGAGGACAAAACCATCTCGACCGGAAAAACACACAAAAACTAAACTAATGCTGACCACCCACACGTCCCACGAACATTCCCCCAATGTTGACAAAAATCTTCTTCGGTTCGTGCCTAAAACCGAGAACTGCGACATCAGAGACCCCTGCAGGACTGGCGTGGAGTTACAGAGTCACTTTCCAAAACCTCGAGTCAATTGAACCGATTCATTGTTTCGAAGTTAATGATGTTTTTTAGTTTTATTTTACAACAAAATCACTTCACATATAGATTACGAAACCCGCAAAAGCTACAAATAAATATGCAAATAAATAAATAAATATATTAAGTAATAAACACACAAATTCCTGCATAAATAAAGCAAAAAATAAATAAATACGCAAATAAATAAATGAATAAATACGCAAAAAAATAATATAAAAAACACAAATTCCTGCATAAATAAAACAATATATAAATACGCAAATAAATAAATAAATGAATAAAAACAAATTCCTGCCAAAAATAAAACAATAAATGAATAAAATTAATTAATATGCAAATAAATAATTAATTAATTAAAACACAAATTCCTGCCTAAATAAAACAATAAATAAACAAATACACAAAAATAAATAAATAAATTAATCAAAACACAAATTCCTGCATAAATAAGACAATAAATAAATAAATACGCAAATAAAAAATAAATGAATAAAAACTAATTCCTGCATAAAAAATAATAAATATGCAAATAAATATATAAACAAATGAATTAATAAAAACACAAATTCCTGCATGAATAAAACAATAAATAAATAAATAAAAACAAATACCTGCATAAATAAAATAATAAATAAATTAATATACAAATAAATAAAAATTAATTAATTAATCAATTAATTAATAAAAACACAAATTTCTGCATAAATAAATAAATAAATGAATGTGAGGCTGTTTTTCAATGACACAGACATGCATTTACACAACTACCCCCCTCAGTTTACCTTTATCTTTATTATATTACATCAAATGTGTAGCACTTTTGTCTTTTCACTACATCTAAACCAGTGCATTCACTATAAAAAAATTAAAAAATATGCTGTTAATGAAAAGAGCTTGTTTTATCAACAGCTGTAACTAATGATATCTCAACACCAAAGCAAGGCTGATTTTCAATACAGACATGCATTTAACACAACTATCCCCTTCAGTTTAATTTTATCATTACATTTATAGTCTTCTTACCACATCAAAACAGTGCTAGAGGAGCTCAGTCATTCATACGCAAATAAAACATACAAGATATTATTGTGTCAATGAAAAGAGCAACACGTAATGATATCTCAAACCAAAGCAAGGCTGTTTTTCAGTGACAGACATGCATTTAACACAACAATATCCCCTTTATATTGTTATTATATTCAATTTATAGCATGTATAGTCTTCTCACTATCTAAACAGTGGAATTCAGTCATTCATACGCAAATAAAATAGATAAAATATATTATTTTGTCAATGAATCAAGCTTGTTTTTATTAAAAGCAACACTTAATGATATCTCAACACCAAAGCAAGGCTGTTTTTCAATGACACAGACATGTTTTTTAAAGATTTCAAACTTGTGTCTCCATTTTATGTCAACACCGTCAGACGTTTATTCGATTGTAATAAATTAGTGGCGCCTCTGCACAGCCCACCGGTGTCAATCTGCTTTGGTTTTATTAATAATGAAGGTAAAATATTCTGCATCACACCAATAGGTCAGCACTGTGATCCAGTTTCTGAGGAAATCATTTAGATGATTTGTTTTGAAACAGGTTGAATTAGCAGTGGTGGTTAGCACTATCACTTTGCAGCAAGAAGGTCTCTAGTTCGAGTTCTGGACCAGTTGGCATTTCTGTGTGGAGTTTGCATTTCGCTGTGGCGACCCCTCATACATAAAGCGACTAAGCCAACTATGATCCAAAATTATCCATATCAACCAGATGAGCAAATATATCAGCACTATCTGGATAAATGAGGCACTTTTTCAATATTTCCTTGACTTGACTTCAGCAGTTATAAACAATTGCTTTCCAAACCTCTATAATTTTTTAAAACATATTAAAAGGGGGGTTATTGTTAAGTAGTGCCTTCAGGTTCTAATAAGCTGCAATTTTTGTATTTAAAAGCAGGAAAAATTCAGACTACTAGATAGACCACCCTCACAAGGAAACGTGAGTTCAGTCGTATGAAGTTCTACAGTCTTTAAAAGGAGGCGTAGCACCAAAGCCCACCCCTAAACCCAGCCGTCATTAGAGGATCAGAAAATTTTACTAAATTGTACAAATGTATCATACAAATTAGCCAGTAAATCAGTCAAAAAATTAGTAAAACGTTACAAACTGCTGTGAGATAGCACTGAACTGCTGTTTTACTAATGATATGTCCCTTTGATTCACAATAGGGGTGGGGAACACATTCACACAGATGTAATTGTAACGTGAAGTGACGCTGACAACAGGGATGCAAATACAGGATTTATTAGGAGGATGGTCAGGGAAGAACGGTCAACACAGAGGCAAACAGATGTAAACAGGCAAATCCAGAGTCGTATCAAACATCCGTTGAGAGGTTAGAAGGCAGGCAGCGGACAGGAGTAAAACAACAAAAGAAAGCAGGGTTCAAAAGCGAAAACAAGGCAAGGAAAAAGCGTTGTAATGTTCAAATACAGTTCAACAAGACTCAGCCACGTGTGTGTGTGTGTGTATGAGTGTGTGTGTGTTTGTCTGCTGACTTTATAGTTCATCAGTACATGAGCAGCTTCAGCTGTGTGAGTCTAATCAATGGAGACTTGGAGCAGGTGTGTGTGTGTGTGTGTGTGTTGCATGACTGAATGTTTAGCCCATATGACATGTCATTGTCTGGATACCTAGGCTTTTCACTCATCATGGCTGCTGATGTGACAAGAAAAGTGATTTGATTTGATCTATTAATTAGATACTAGTATCTAATAAGTACTAGTACCTTTTAACTACTAGTACATAAAAATATGTGGAATACATACTAGTCAAAGCTGAATAGTTGATATCTCAATGACAGAACCCATAGAAATCAATGGAAACATTTTAAATGCATTACTAGTAACAACAGAATGGTTACTGGTCACTATTAAAATAAGTGCTAGTACCTAATAAATAACAACTAGTATCTATTTAATAAGTACTAGTATCCATTTAATAAGTACTACCTAGTAAATAGATGCTAGTATCTAATGAACAAGTACTAGATCTATTTTAATAAGAACTAGTATCTAATGAATGAGTGCTAGTGTATTTTAATAGGTACATGTATCTAATGAACGAGTTCTAGTATCTAATAAAAATAACTAGTGTCTAATGAGTCAGCACTAGTATATTTTTAAAAAGCACTAGTGTCTAATGAATAAGCACTATAAGCACTAGTATCTAAAAAATAAGTACTAGTAACATGAAAATAGATACTAGTACAGGTTATAGATTAAATGTCAAAGCGGCTTGCCATAGTTCAGCTGCATGCATGACGCACGTGCAGGAGCCCTGCTAAGGTTTAAATAAAAGTAAAACCATCAAGAAAAAGACTGACCCTCTTTATTTAATACAAGTGCAGCTATTTAGAGCTCATTTCTGGTCAATGATGTTAGAGATTACCGAAAATGAATGTGTCAATGGTCTTTTCTAGAACACCCTTGCCTGTCTGAACAGCACAATGAATTTATCTTAAGTTGTTCTGTAAATTCTGGATATGTACTGGCATTACTGTGTGAAAAGAGCAAATGCCAGTGTTACAAACCCCTGATGTTTGTCTAGGGGAAATGGGGTTTGACATTTTGATGCAATTAAAATAAATGTACGAAGTGCAAAAGACAACCAAAGTAGATACCAAAAAGTCTGACTTTATTTACAATTCCCAAAGTGAACAAAAACAACGAATTAATCAAAATTAAAGAAAGGAAAGCAGGGCAAAAATATATATTTACACTGAGACAGATACAAAGTCATGGGAAAAACTAGAGAGCTGGCAGACGGGATGTGGGCGGCGCTAAGGGAGTGAAAAGAACAAAACCCAAACTATATCTAACTCCCCAGAAGCATCTCTAAAAAAAAAAAATAAAACAGAAACTCCTCCATTACTGCTCAGGTTTAGGGCTGATAAACTGCGAGCAGAAAGGATGTGAAAAGATTCAAGGATCTGAATCTGCTTTGTTGTTATTGAGCAGGCACTAAATGTGCTACAAAACAATAACCCAAACCCTTCACCTAGACAGTCTGTACAGACATAACATACAACTGCATGAGCATATCTGACATATTTGACTGAAAACCAAAACAATTAAACACAACTAACGACTTAGACTGAAAACACATATTGTGGTACAGAAGACATGTAGAGGGTTTTACAGAAGGTGAACGGTTTGGAAAATTGCATTGTACAGAAATAATTTACGCATTGTTTAGTATATGTGTATATGTTCAAGATATATATGACATCTATATATTTAGATATACAGTTGAAGTCAGAATTATTAGCCGCCTGAATTATTAGCCCCTCTGTTTATTTCCCCCCCCCAATTTCTGTTTAATAGAGAGGTTTTTTCAACACATTTCTAAACATAATAGTTTTAATAACTCATCTCTAATATCAGACTAGATATTCTTCAAGACACTTCTATACAGCTTAAAGTGACTTTTAAAGGCTTAACTAGATTAATTATGGTAACTAGGCAGGGTAATTAGGCAAGTTATTGTATAATGTTGGGTTGTCTGTAGACTATCTAAAACAAATTTAGCTTAAATGGGCTAATAATATTGACTTTATAATGGTGTTTAAAAGGTTAAGAAATGCTTTTATTCTACCCGAAATAAAACAAATAAGACTTTCTCCGAAAGAAAAAATATTATCAGAAATACTGTGAAAATTTCCTTGCTCTGTTAAACATAATTTCTGAAATATTTAATAAAGAAAAGAAAATTCAAAGGGGGCTAATAATTCTGACTTCAACTGTATATACATACCATGAGTTCATGTAGTGCTACAGAAAATATAAAACAGACATTCAGGACAAACCAATGAAGAAGACGGAGGTAAGAACATAAGCAGATAGTGGTTCAGAATAGTCCAGACAGCATGAAAATACAAGTAAACAATCCAAACTACTAAAATGTCACAGAAGACTTTAATGATTTCCATTAAATCCATTAATAAACCATCAGATTTGAGCATTAAAAATGCATTATTCTAGTGTTTTGGGAGATACTGCATTAGCAAACAATTAGTGACATACGAGCCCAATAGTTTCTTTGCAAAAAATAAATACATAAATAAATAAATCCTTAATCAAGAAACATTTTCAGTACAATTAAAACTATTGTTTTAGTTTCAGAATTAATAAATGAAAATTAGGTGAGTTTTTCTTCAAAACAAGCAAAATAATCTGTCAAAATGTAAAATTATGTTATTTCAAACCCAAAACTACATTACTTACACAATTTGTGGATTATTTTGCTTTATTTTAAGGAAAAACTCAGGTGAGTTTACCGCAAAATATAAAATCTGTCATCATTTTCTCACTTTACTCCTTTCAACCCTTTATGAGTTTCTTTTTTCTGGTGAACACAAAAGAAGATATTTTGAAGAATGCTGTAACCACAACTTCCACAGTATTTCCTTTTCCTACTATGGAAGTCAATGGTTTCAGCATTATTCAATATATCTTCTCTCTGTGATTGACAAATGAAAGAAACTCATCAAACTCAAAGGTTTGGAAAAATAAAATAGTGAGTCATTTTTTATTGTAGTGTGAACTATCCTTTAATTTGGACGTATTTTTTCTGAAAACAAAAACATTTTGTTATTAGTCTAGAACAGGAATGTCAAACTCAATTCCTGGAGGGCCACAGCACTGCACAGTTTAGTTCCAACCCTAATAAAACACCCCTGATCAAACTATTTGAGTGCGCTCACTGCAACATGTGGGCCAAGCAAAAGCTGCTTGTGTGGGCCACATCTGGGCCAGAGAAATTTTGCTATGTGGGTTATTTGTTAATAAAACTTTTAAGTCAATAACTATACCTAATAGCTTTTAACTGTTAAAGTTATTATATACAAACAGTTACTCTGCAGTTATATAGACCACTTTCAGAGATAATAATATACACTTAATAACAATTGATATGTTATTGATAATAACAATAACAGAGGTCCCAATGTATTTCCTGTTACACATTATTTATTTTCATAGCTTCCAAAAAGCTCCACAATTTCATAAATAATGTTATGATGACTGTTTTAACATTAAGGTATGATTGAATTGCCTCCTGTTACAGTTATGAAATGGTTTGACAACAAACAACAAATGTTTATGAGCCAATAACCTCACCACATTGAAATGGTCTACAGCAGGGGTGTCCAAACTCGGTCCTGGAGGGCTGGTGTTCTACACCTGAACCAGCTAATCAAGCTCTTTCTCGGTATACTAGAAACTTCCAGGTGTGTTGAAGCAAGTTGGAGCTAAACTATGCAGGACCGAGTTTGGACATCCCTAGTGCATGGGTGTCAAACTCAATTCCTGGAGGGCCGAAGCCCTGCACAGTTTAGTTCCAACCCTGCTCCAACACACTTACCTGTGGGTTTCAAACAAGCCTGAAGGACTCAATTAGTTTGATCAGGTGTGTTTAATTAGGGTTGGAACTAAACTGTGCAGAGCTGCAGCCCTTTTGGAACTGTGTTTGACATGTGCCCTAGTGTGTAGCCTATAGGTGTTGTTCAATTCAGTTACATTTGTAAAAGCAATCATTTGTTCCATGTAACCTAATTCCTACATGATTGATGTTGATTGTGTAGAAACTATCCTGTTATACAGTGTACAAAAGCTGCTGCTAAACCTGTTCATTCTGCCAGAACAACCAGGATGTTCACAGTAATCAAATAATTATTGAAATATAGCACACATCCTCCGGGCAGCCTCCAGGGAAGTGAGGCAGGTACAAAGCATCATTTAGTTCGAAACAACCTAACCAGCAAGTCCACATACTTTGTTTAGTTTGACATCCAAAATATGCAGCTCACCCTGATATTTTCAGGACTACAAATATTTAAATGAACGTTCACACCGTAAAACTAACAAATCACCCGCAGGTAATGTTGACTGATCCAATGACTAATATAACTTTATCAGTATTTATTGATCTTAGAGTATGTTAGTTCTTAGTTTGTGTGAGCTCTTGTCAACTAAATAATAATAACGTGCAATAAAAGAATACAAAACATGCTTTTAGACATGCTTGTTTGATTTTTTTCAAGTACATGTCAGCTGACAAATCATTTTTTAGCAATACAAGCAATATTTTTCCCTTAAAACAAACATTAAAGTAAATAAAAATGCGTCAAATCATCATTTTGAGAAATGATAAATTTGATGCATTTTTATTTCCATTATTGTTTACCAACATTTGCAGCGGTAATCATTTTTATGTTTAAATTGTTTATTGTGAAAAAAACAAACATTACATCAGTACAGATAGTTACATATCATTCTTTTTCTTTTTCTTTTTTACAAAAGAGACAAAAATAATAATAATAATTATATATATATATATATATATATATATATAATAAAAAAGAGAAATATTAATAATAATAATAATAATAATAAAAATAAAAATAATAAGAGGAAAAGAAAAATAGAAACATGAGTATTAAGTGTACTGAAAATTACAACCAAATATTACAATCAAATGAATATTTACAATTAAACGGTATAAAATGGTATTAGATAAAACAAAAAAGTTTCATTAATACGTAATAAATTAAAAAGGGAGGGAACTCAGGAGAGTGCATCTATTAAATGGAAGGCAATACCTTAAGAGAGTTAAAGTTAAAAAACATTGTCACTTTTTAAAGAAATTAGTTTTCCCAGAGCATCTAACCTTTTCCAACTTAAGAAAATGCATGGTATCTACAAGCCATTGGGATGTAGTTGGAGGCTTATTTGATTTCCAGTGAAGTAGTATACGACGCCTGGCTATTAGTGAGGTAAAGGCCAAAACATTAAGCTGTTTAAAATTGAATTGGGACCAAATCTTTGGAACCCCAAAAATGGCAACATCAGGGGATGGGTTTATATTTACCTGCAACACCTTGGACATAATTGTAAAATAATTAATCCAATAATTCTGTAATAGAGGGCACATAAGCGGTAATCATGTTTTAATTTTATTTGTTCCTTCCTCTTTGCGTGTGTGTGTGTGTGTGTGTGTGTGTGTGTGTGTGTGTGTGTGTGTGTGTGTGTGTGTGTGCGTTTGTAGGTGTTTTGTGGCATCTCAGGATATCAAACTATATAATGACACAGGTATGACACTGGTATTACAAGAAGCTGGTGAAATATGAGGACAATGCTGATGTCCTCATTTCTCTAAAAGCTTGCAAATCACACACAATGAGTTTTCTCTGACAGTAAACCTGCACACAGTTTCCAGTGATGTTTGGGTTTGGGGCTAGGGTGAGGTTAGGATCATACAAAACACAGTTTGTACAGTATGAAAACAATGGACACCTATATAATGTCCCCACATTTCACAAAAACAAACTAACTTGTAATGGGATCTCTATGCTGCTTTCTGGCGATTCTTTTATCCTCATTTGAAGTCGCTTTCAAATAAAAAGCATTGGCTAAATAAATAAATAAATGTAAATGCGTCAGCTCACTTTGACCAGTGACGGTGTGTCCTCAGTGTGTCGAGACGACATTTGCGACTGTGAGCAAAAGTGCAACACCTGATTTACTTGTTTGTCATTGAAATGTTGGAAAAGAAACACTCTCAACTCTATAATTGAACCTGTTCAACTCACATTCAGTCCTTTACATCAAAACACTTTTGCTCTTTCACTTGGGCGTGCCATTAACACACACACACACACACACACACACACACACAAAACTCTAAAGATATAATTGACTTATTTAAAATGTTATGCATATAATAAAAAAGTCAATACAATCATAAGTCATTTAACATGCAGCATTTCCTTTACACATTTGTGCAATTGCATACCATAAAGTCCTGAGTACAATCAGAAAGGCTTTGTTTTCAGAATGACGTGGAGTTTAGAGTCAGTAGAGCTTGATAAAGACCACAGACCTTCACTCTGACATACTCCACAGACTGCACTGCACACTACGGTAATCTCTCTCTCTCTCTCTCTCTCTCTCTCTCTCTCGCTTTTTATTTATCTATATTCATCTGCACTGTAAATTTTATTTTAAAATATAAAGTAAACCTGTTGCTTTTAATGTGATAAACTTTATCTATTTAGTTTTTTAAAGTAAAGCGATTAGTTGACTTTACAGTAAAAAACGTAGTAAATCTGTTGCTTTTAAAAGTGAATTGTTGACTTTATTTTTAAAAAGTGAGCAAATATTTTGCTTTTAAAGTGATTAGTTAAGTTGATTTTTAAAAAGTGAGTAAAACTGTTGCTTTTAAAGTGATCAGTTGACTTTACAGTCAAAAACGTAGTAAATCTGTTGCTTTTAAAGCGATTAGTTGATTTTGTTTTTGAAAATGAGTAAACCTGTTGCTTTTAAAGTGATTTGATGACCTGTTTTTAAAAAAGTGAGCAAATATTTTGCTTTTAAAGCGATTAGCTGAGTACATTTTTAAAAAGTAAGTAAACCTGTTGCTTTTTTTACAGCAAAAACTTGATTTTATTTTTTTAAAGTGAGTAAACCCGTTGCTTTTTAAGTTATTATTTGATTTTATTTTATTCAGTGAGTAAACATGTTGCTTTGAAAGTAATCATTTCATTTTACATTGAAAAAGGTGAGCAAAGCTTTTGCTTTTAAAGCAATAAGCTGATTTAAATTAAAAAAAAATATGAGTAAACCTGTTGCTTTTAAAGTGGTGAGTTGAGTTTATTGTAAAAGAATGCGAGTGAACCTGTTGCTTTTAAGTGATTAATGAAAGTGAAAAATATGTGAAAGGGAAGTGAATCTATTTGTGAATCAATCAATAGTTTAAGTAATAAACTATACAAACTTGTTGCTTTTAAAGTAAAAAACTGCCTTTCTTTTATAAGAATGGGACCTGTTGCTTTTATTGTGATTATTTGAGTTTAATTTAAAATATGTGAGTAAACATGATGCTTTTAAAGCAATAAGTTCATTTTTATTTTAAAAAGTGAGTAAAACCTTTGCTTTTGAAGAAATTATTTGACCTTATTTTATTTTTAAGTGAGTAAACCTGTTGCTTTTAAAGTGATAAGTTGATTTTAATAAAAAAAATGCATGAAACCTGTAGCTTTTAAAGTGATAAGTTGAATCTCATTGTAAAATAAAGTGAGGGAACTTGTTTTAAAGCGATAAATTAACCTTTTTAGTCATGTCCGTGACCAGGTTTCACAGGAAGAAGAGACAGAACTGTCTCAATGTGATCTCCTGGCTAAATAAAAGAAATAATAATGTCAACTTCATCAACATGAATCAACATAACAAGTAAATATTAAGTTAAGCTTTAAATAACATAAATAATTTAGTTGAAACCTGATAAACTTATTAAAATAAGTTAAAGTCTTGTCATGACTTTTTAGTCATATAATTTTTACAGCATTTACCAAACTAATGTTTTGAACAGTACTTGCACAGCATTTACTAGATCAATATTTACCAATACATTATTAAAATCTATTAAAATTATTAAAGTTGTGCTTATTAATATTAGTTAATGCACTGTGAGATAAAAGGAACCAACAATGAACAGCTGTATTTTCATTAACTGAATATTAATAGCATTTTATAATGCCATAAGATTTACTTAATAACATTAACAAATCCTTTCAGAAATATATTGTTAATTTTTTTTGTCCATGTTAGTAAGTACATTAACAAGGGGCCATGATTTTAAAGTGTGCGTCATTTGACTTTTATATGTCAACAAATATGCATCTGATCTGGAAAAGTATGCAAATCAGTGCACATTTAAACACACAGTTGCTAGTTTGTATATTTAAATATTGCATTATAATATAATCAGTACTAAAAAATTTCCCTAATACCAAAAAACATATGTAAACATGTTAAAGATGATCTAGCATGCTGTTCTTTAGGCCACTGCAGCAGGATGGCAGCTCAGGTCTCGCACACAGTGCTGCGGTTGGAGGCTGAAGATGTTCGAAACCTCAAAGACGGAATTAATTTTCAGAAAAACAACAAGGATGGAAAATGTTACATCATTTACAAAGCAAACGGCGAGCTGCGGGCGTGCAGGAACCAGTGCAAACACCAGGGAGGACTGTTCATTAAAGACATCGAGGACATGGACGGCAGGTGAATAGATACACTCTTTCTAAAAAATAAATAACATTACTAGTTAAACATGCCTATAATAATAATAATAATTATTATTATTATTATTTATTTCTTAGAGGTTTTGACTTGTTTCTAGTCCAAATAAATCAAAACTATCTTAATCTTTGATTAAGAAGCATTTTCTAGACCATGTTTTTACTGAACATGCATAAATCAACCACTTAAAAATGTCCAAGTCTTTTGCATTTAAATATTTATTTTGTTATAATATTTTTGCTACTTTTTGACATTGATAAACATTCAGATCAGACCTAAATCCAGACAAATCATAACAAAATGTGTTTTTAATAGACCTCCATATACATTTATTTATTTATTTATAAAAATACAGGAAAAGATTAAGAGATAATCGGGCCTGACTCAGCATGAATGCTATTTTTCAGCAGGTTCCTGCTCTGCAGAACATTAAAACAGGCAGACACACTTGCCATCTCATCCATCAACACAGTACAAACAATCACCAAACATATAAAATAGAGAAAAGCCGGCTACTATCTCAGTGGCTCCAGCGATAGTTGACCATCAGATGACGAGCATGGGATTTTCTAAAAATTTTCTCAGTGTTGGTATTGTGTTTAGATGTTGCGGAATCTCATTCCAGGCTTTTGTGAATGCATAAAAGAAAGATCTCTGTCCATAACAGTTCTTAAAAGCCATTAATGCCAAACATGCATTTGTTGATCTGGTGGAATGATCAGTCCTTGTGTTAAGTTTTGGTACCAAAGCACAAAGGGCTCCTGAGGTAGCGCTATTTAAAAATTGATAGTACATAAAACAACCACCGTCTATACAAGTCAACCATTTATAAATAACTTAAAAATGCATTGACAGCAACCACAAAGGAGGCCAAAGGAGAAGTGACACTGCAGTATCGGCTATTTAGATCAACAAAAGAAACAATCGGACAAACAAAACTGTGTCTGTGCTGTCTAAACGTTTGTTTCATATCACCAACTATCTCATTCCTAATCAAACAGAGCAGTTTTGTGCTGGATTAGAGCAAAATGAACATAAACCTCTCTGTACAGGTGTCCTTTCTTCAACAACTTTTCTTTTGTTTCTTGAGGTGTTTTTCACACCTCAAACACACACTGTGGTAAAGATTGTGATCGATTACAGCGAAAGTCGTTTGCTGACTGGTTGTTTTTACAACAGCTTCACACAGGAAAACCTTTAACAATTGCTTCCTTTTAGACAGGACATTAAAAAACGTGTTTATGAACGTAGTCCACACTCTTAAAAGTGTTAAAGAAGGCTTACCTATTAGGGTAAAATTAGGGTGATTAGGCAAGTCATTGTATAACAGTGGTTTGCTCTGTAGAACAAATTTCTTAAAGCGGTAATAATGATGACCTTAGCAATTTTTACATTGATTTATCAGGGTTTCTGCAGATTTCAGCAAGTTAAATTCAAGACTTTCTAAGACCATTATGAATGAAATAAGACTCATACAGGGCTAAACATTAATGAATTGTGGAATGGGCCAGCTGGAAAAGATTTTTATTTGCCTTTTCAACCTTTTTAAAATAATTTAATAAATTCAGTCATGCAATAATAATAATTTAATCATTAAAGAGTAAATAGTTTAAGTAATTCAGTGCAAAATATTTTAAATATTGTGTCAAATCAAGCAAGCAAGCTCTAAATATTTACATACACCTTTTCAACATAACATAACAACATAACAACATAACCGCCGGCAGCTAGCTCTCTGCAACTCTCACATGGTCGCCCACTGAAGCTAAGCAGGGCTGCGCCCGGTCAGTACCTGGATGGGAGACCACATGGGAAAGCTGGGTTGCTGCCGGAAGTGGTGTTAGTGAGGCCAGCAGGGGGCGCCCAACCTGCGGTCTGTGTGGGTCCTAATGCCCCAGTATAGTGACGGGGACGCTATACTGCTCAGTGAGTGCCGTCTTTCGGATGAGACGTTAAACCGAGGTCCCGACTCTCTGGGGGTCTCCCAGGATGTCCTTCGAAAAGAGTAGGGGTTTAACCCCGGCATCCAGGCCAAATCTGCCCACTGGCCTTTGTCCATCATGGCCTCCTAACCATCCCCATATTCCAATTGGCTTCATCAATCCACCAATCAGCTGGTGTGTGGTGTGCGGTCTGGCGCAAAAAATGGCTGCTGTCGCGTCATCCAGGTGGATGCTGCACACTGGTGGTGGATGAGGAGATCCCCCCCATTGTGTGTAAAGCGCTTTGAGTGCCCAGAAAAGCGCTATATAAATGTAAGGAATTATTATTAATTATTATTATAACCTTTCCTAAAAGGAAATAATAGAAAAGCATTTAAAATGTATTAAAACTATTATAAACTAAATGTATGCACAGCGGTCTGTCCAGGTCAGCGTCCTCAGCAGTAAATACATGGAGAACTTTTAAACAAAGGTAATTGTGAGGAAAATAATTAAACCATCATGGTTAAAAGTTACATTCTTAAATAAAAAGTTAAAAGTTTTATTGAGAGGGATTGTTGGTGATTGTATAAGTTAGCCTGATTGGGTAACTATACTTGAACAAAGGAAAATTAAGACCTGTTTAACAAAGTTTTAAAGGTTTTAAAGACCTACAACACAATATTTCAGTCAATTTAAGGCCCAGAATTTTCTTTTTGAGATTAAAGATATTACAAGACTTTTTAAGACCCCGCGGACACCCTGATTTACATATATATTCCAGCCAAACTAAAAGAATTACAACTTTCTCCAGAGAATAAACATAATAGGAAATATTGTGAAAATTTGATTTGCTCTGTCAAACAGCACTTGGGAAACATTTGTAAAAAAACAAACAAAATTCACAACCATTTGTGGCTAATAACTGCATCTTTAACTGTTCATTTCACTGATATTTTATACTGTGCAAAATGTGTTACTCTTACTTTAGGTTTTGAGCAAGATTTACAAATGCCGTACTGTAGAAATTATTGTAAATAATGAATTGTGTGTTCGTTACAGAACAGTTCGGTGTACCAAACACTACTGGAAACTCAACGTGGCCACTATGCAGTACGTCAATCCACCAGACAGCTTCATGCAGGATGAACTCGGTAAGATCCCTCAAACGTTTGTTTTTGTAAATGAAGCAATGATGACAACATTGACAAGAGTCTTTACGGCTTCAGTGGATTCACCAAGAAGCTACAACAACTAATGCATCTTTCTTTTCTAACTTTAGATTTCTGGAAGTAAATCTGCCTCTGTATTACTGCAAGCTTTTCTTACATGGAGTTTTTGTCTTGTTTTTAGTCCCAATGTCTAGAAATTCCTAAATCAAGAAGCACTTTCTATACAACTAGCGCATAATGTGTTGTTTTCAGAAATAATAAGTCCAAATTAAGTGAGTTTTTCTTTAAAAAAAAGCAAAATAATTAACCAATGTGATAAGTTAAACAAGTTAAATAAGTTATTTATTTAAGGGGCTCTATCATACACCCGGTGCAATAAGGCACAAAACGTGTATGGCGCGATTTGTTGCTATTTTCAGATCAGCACAACAGTAATTTTCACGTTTTGCATCATATTGTTTAAATAGCAAATCCATTTGCGCCACTTTGTCTATAAAAGAAATGAGTTGCGACGCATTGTTGGTGCGTTATTTACTGCATGCATATTTATATTTGTTTTAATAAAAACTAGTTTAGATTTGTCCACCTGTGGGGTTTTGGAGACGTCTGCATCATCATATGGGGCATAAAAACAGGAAGTGTGTTTGGATATAACTCCATTTTTTTGACCACACTTCATTATTATTGATCATTTGTTCCTTTGCTGGATATTAGAACTTAATTTAGGAATAGTTTTCAAACAAATCTTTGCTCTTAACAGATTGAATTAAATATGTGGGCTAATGGCTTTCTTCAGTAGAGTGAGTAAAGAGAAGGTAAAAAGGCTGAATGGAGGAGGCTCGTTCTTTATCCTCGTGCTGCAGAGGCTCTGTTTAACTGTTTTCTAGCTAGTGAAGCGTTCAGTTTCTCCACTTGAAACTTCTGCCATGTAAATAGCAAACACAACAATAGTGCAACACAATTGACTCTTTAAGGAAATGTGAGATGAGACTTTGATTGGTTTAATGCAAGCTTTGCTCAAAACACACTCATAACTCATTAAGAGAATAAGCACAGCCCTGTTAGACCATGCGCCAGATTGCAGAGCACATTTTTTCATCCTTAAAATAGCAAAAATGGATTCGGACACGGTGCCTTTGCACCATGTGCTTTAGATTTGCGCTTAGATCGATAAAATAGAGCCGAAGATTACTTACACCATTGGCAGATTAAGATCAGGTTTAGTCACTGTTTTGTAGCACACTAGCTTGAACATTGAATGATCCAAAAACAGACTGTTCCAAAAATGTAATGTTCCAAAGACAGACTGTTTCAAAAATGGAATGGAACATTCTAAACTGTTATCTGTCAAAAATGGAATGTTTTAAAAATTGGAATGAAATGTTCCAGAAACTACACTTTACTGAATATTTACTAGATTTTGAGGTAAAATTGACACATGTTGTCTAGTTAAACAGTGCTCAGCATAATAGAGTACAGCCCATTTTGAAAATGAATATTTTTCTACATTTTTCAATGAATATAGGCATTGTATTTGCTGCGTTTAAACAAAACAGATTTATTAAACAGATATATTTATTAAAATTGTATTTCAGTCACCAACCATATTGGGGAAATGAAAGATTAATTAAATGACATACTTTAAACTATTAAATTCAAGCTAATTTTTGCAAAAATAAATTAAAACCTATCAAATTTCAACTAAATGTTTCATTTTTTTTTTTTTTTGCTTCTCTTGATTTTTCCTCTTTATTAAATTTGTATTTAATATTTTTCTATAATATAACTTTGGCTGCACTAGTTTTTGGAGCGTTATCATAAGTCATTTTGTTAGATGAGCTCCAGATTTGGCTTCAGTACTGACTAATCTAATGTATATGCACACATCAAATATTGTAGAGCGTCGTATTAAGAATATATGAGTTTAAACGAGAGACTTGTGAGAGGTGTATTTATATATCCTGAGCTCTGTACATATAGAATAGATATGTATTAATTGTCAATCAGATTGAAGTGAACCCCGTGTTGTCATGTTTGTGTGTAGAAGCAGTGCTGTCTGAGACTGACGGGAGTTTAGAGCTGCTGGAGTTGAATCCTCCAGACCCCTGGACTGCAGAGCCCAGAGAAGCACAAGATCTGCAAGCCGGAGAGATTACGGTACAATCAGACCCCAGCAGAGTAGTAACAATTAAAAACTCTGCACCGATATTGGTCATGTATTACTCAGAGAATCAAGAAGGAGATGAGCCATGTGTTTAATCAGGCTTGCCAAACATTACCAACGAATTATTAATCACAACAGAAAAGGGATGTCTGAGTATTGTAGCTATAAAACTATGCCTAATGTAAATATATAAATCCACAGATAAAGAAAAGCCTTTAGTGTATTGAACGCTCCACCTGCCCGACTCAATACACACAAATTACAATGGACAACACACACAAGCATTGTATGCGTCATGCATTACATCCTAATCTGTTGCTTTCTGAGGTTATTACAACTCAAATACAGACTGTGTGCTCTGTAAGATGAACTTGAACGTTTTACAAAGGCGCCATTAAATCAAACAAATGATCATTATTGAAAGCACAAAGCTGTCATGGGAAATGCCGTTGTTTTGAATGTGATCGATGTGGTTTTTATCTGTTTCACTCTCTGTTATCTGATCAACCTGTAAGGAACATAGACCTGAGCACTGTAACAATCTGATATATCAGCGTTACAGCTTGACAAACAAATAACTAGACACTAGACACAAACAAATCACCCCCAAAACTTGTCTTTTGTATATATCATCAGCCTAAATACCCATAACTCATAACAGCTGGGTCTGTCCTGTTTTTTTTTTTTTCCAATTCCTTTTTATTACATTTTAACAAGTACACATTACCATGTACCAGATATAACATGAACCAACAAACAAAACTAAAGGCTTCTCAGTACTTTACATCAGAATAAAAGATCAGCTTGTTTACTAATCTTCTAATAAATCATTTCCAACTCGACCACCTTTTAAAAACAATATAACAATTCTCAAAAACTCAAAAATTATGTATTTATTTCTGAATATACAAGTTTTTTTTCCTTGACATGTTTGTTACCATCTCTTCAAGCCTATATTTGGTGCACAAATAATTTTCCAATTCTATTCAATTATATTCTATTCATCTTTATTTCTCTAGCTCTTTTACAATGTAGATTGTGTCAAAGCAGCTAAACACTGAAGATAATAGTAAATGTAAACAGTGTCAGTCCAGTTTTCAGAGCTGAAGTTCAGTTTAGTTCAGTTCAGTGTGGTTTAATAATCACTGCTGAGAGTCCAAACACTAAAGAGCAAATCCTTTGATGCGGATCCATCGATCCAATTTAAAGACATAAGCCGCTTCGCTTGCAGAATACATATATTCATAAATATATGCTCCGTCTTTTTTTAACTTGATCTCCTTGGGACATAAATGAAATTTAAAAAATTACAGGAGACATTGGTATATTAACCTCATGAATCTTTTCTATCATTTCTGTCACAGCTTTCCAAAAGTTCTGTATTCCTTTAAATTCCCACACAGCAAAATCAACAGTGTTAATTCAACAGTTAATTTTAACACTTTACCGGTATATATATATAATCCACACCAGCCAGAGTTAAAATAACATTTTCAAAACGGTTAACAATTTAACACTGGCGCAGGAATTATGTGTTTTTTGCTTGTTTTATCAGTAATTATTCATATGCTTTATTAAAATGCAATACATACTATGCTAGTTGTGCATTATAAAACATTTAAACTTAATTATTGTTGGTTCAGACCTAATTAGTGGTATAATAAACAAATACAAAACAACAGTGCTTCACATTTCATTTTTAATGAAAAACTAAATTCCATGCATGTTGATGTGTAAAAACATTTAAAGTGTCAGCCCTTGTAGTCATACAGAAATGTTTTGTTTTCAATAAGTAGTTAAAACCCTGCCTAAAACAGCATAAAAACATATGTATTTACATTTGGTCCGCATTTACAGTTTTTGAGTCTCCTTTAAACATTTCCGCTGTCTTCTGTGTTACTTGCATGCGCTGTGAGAATTTGCAGTGTGTTTTCTTAATTGCGTTGTGAGGATTTTCAACACGTTTGCTGTTAGAGCAATAAAGATTATTTGTAATTGCATGTGTTTCCTTGTTAGGCTCTTTCGGCCATTATTAATTTGACTGTTTTGTTGACGAGATATGGGTGGGTGTTGGCCACGAGCCTTCAACTATCCACTTCATTTACATCCTTGTTAAAGTTGTCAGACTAGTTGCTTTGTCTCCACCTCTAATATACAGTTAAAGTCTGAATTATTCGCCCCTGTATATATAATTCCTCAATTTCTGTTTAATGGAGAGAAGATTGTTTTCAACACATCTCTAAACCTAACAGTTTTAATAACTCATTTATAATAACTGATTTATTTTCTCTTTGTCATGATGACAGTAAATAATGTTTCAATATTATAATAATAAGATAATCTTCAAGACTAGTATTCAGCTTAAAGTGACATAGGGTTAATAGGGTTAATAGGGTAAAGTTGGGGTAATTAGGCAAGTTATTGTATAACAGTGGTTTGTTCTGGAGACAATCCAAAACTAATATTGCTTAAGGCGGGTAATGATATTATGCTTAAAATGGTTTTTAAAAAATTTAAATCTGCTTTTATTCTAGCCGAAATAAAACAAATAAGACTTTATGCAGAAGAAAAAATATTATAGGAAATACTGTGAAAATTTCCTAAATCTGTGCAACATCATTTGGGAAATATTTGAAAAAAAAATAAAAAAATAAAAATCACACACTGTAAAAAGCTATAGGTTACATTAAAAGAAAAGTGAGTAAATCCATTGACTTATCTTGCATGCTAATAATGCACATAGTTCATTGTTTACTCAATAATTATAATCAACTAACTGCATTTTACATTGCAGGAGGGCTAATAATTATGACTTCAACTGTATGTTAATTAACATATTTCATTTTATTTACATTGTGCAGATTGCTTATTTTACAGTGTATGACTGTGTGTTTCAGCTGACCTACATCACTCATGCGTGTATGGAGCTGAAAGCGGGCGAGCGCAGGATGATGTTTGACCCGTGGCTCACAGGACCAGCATTTGCCAGAGGATGGTGGCTCCTACACGAGCCTCCGAAAGATGCTATGGACAGACTGATGGAGGCAGATCTCGTTTACATCAGCCACATGCATTCAGACCACCTCAGGTAAGCACTGATACTGTTTTGAATGTAGTCGCAATCTATGAATCTGCAACAATCACATGATCTGAATGATCTGCAATGCTAAAACAAAATGATAATAATCGGGAACTACAGTTCAGGACACATGAGATTTGCGATGTTTAACCCTAAAGCAGGGGTCACCAATCTCGCTCCTGGACGTCCAGTGCCCTGCAGGGTTTAGCTCCAACTTGCCTCAACACACCAGCCTGGGTGTTTCAAGTATAGTAAGACCTTGATTAGCTTGTTCAGGTGTGTTTGATAAGGGTTGGAGATAAAATCTGCAGGACACCGGAACAAGTTTGGTGATCCCTGACCTAAAGGAATGAAAAATGTTCAATTGGTTGTGTTTTAAAGGCCTGTACTGTATGAAATATCCGTAAATTAGCAGTTTTCCGTATTTTGTGACTCATGTTTTTATTTTCCACCATTTATTTCTGCTTTTGAATTGTATTATGGGATCTTAATCTTTTTTTTCCAACAACTTTTAACCTTGAAAAGTGTGAAAAAGTGACTTTTATGAACATTTTAATAGTTTAAAGTGCTATATTGTCTGGGTTGGTGTTATATATTTTCCTACAAACACCTTGTAATAAACTGCCAGCCGCTTTTCTGTTATTTTACAGACTTATTTCTCTATATTCCTATTATTTCTTGTACATTATCTTATTTTAAATGACTAAAACATCACGTTGTTAAACTGTAGAGTTGAATTTTCAACATCAAAAGTGGGCAAAGCAGAGATCAACATCCCATAATGATCAATTTACAACCGTACATAAATGGAAAACATTAAAATATAGAACTGTTAATGATTATTTACCGTGTGTATGAGATTTCAAGATAATTTATACCATTTAGGTACAAGAAATGATAAAGTGTGAGGCTTTAACAATGATTTAATTATGTGCACTGTTAATGATGTTTGCTATTGAATGGTAATGTGAGCTTTATTTTACTGTAGGACAGTAATGCAGCATGTTATTGTATTTTATAGTTGCTTTGTGAAAATAACTGTATATTTTAAAGCATATATATACAAGACTGTTAATAAATATACAGTGGGATAAATAGCGCTGTAAATGTAAATACAGTATATTGCTGTAATAGGGTATATGCCGAGCTAGTGTGATTCCCATACTGATAAACTTCTGGTGGCCCGTTATTGTGAGTTTTTTTCCATTTTATACAGTTCCTTTTACTGTATCGATGTTGTAATGTCATTAAAATACATTCAGTTAAATAGACTTTGGCATTCATTTACTTGCTCAAGCGTAAAAACAAGACAAAAAGCCATTTACTCGCACGCGCCCATCAGAATCGGCAGGTTAGCTCAGAAGCTCCATTAAATATCATGGTGTAAAATAAATCTTCATATTATAAAGACATGGCAGGGGAAAATGTGATTTAATGCAGTGCTTCTTGTACAATCTGAGCACCACATTACATCGGATATCACTCAGCCAGTGGAGATCGCTGATTTTTAAAGAAAACAGACCTTAAACACGCAGATCTTGCATTGGCATTCAGTTCACCTGAAGCAGTTAACCCAGGTTACTGGCAAATTAAAAGTCCTATTAGCATGCTCCAGCATATACCGTATTGATTTTATAATTGAAGTAACTGGCAATTCTACAGGAGATTGTAAACAGTGCATACAATGAAGACTTTGCTGTATTACTTCATATTTAATTACTGAATTTTTGTAAACTGGCTCCATAGGAAACCATACATCACATCTCTATTGTACTTATCCATGCTTTTAATTTGTTTATTATAATTTATGCAGATGCATTCCCATGCAAAATCATCCCGAACAGTCTAAATAAAAGAATTCTTTCCAAATTGAGCAATTCAATTCATCTTGTAAAATTACATCTACATCCCTGAAGAACAAGATTTTGCAATATCAGATTTTTCCAATATCGCGCAGCCCTAATAAACACATCATCTACCATATAGTGCATACATTTTATATATTTATTTATATATATATATATATATATATATATATATATATATATATATATATATATATATATATATATATATATATATATATATATGTGTGTGTGTGTGTGTGTGTATATATGTATGTATATATATGTGTGTGTGTGTGTGTGTATATATTTTATATATATATATATATATATATATATATATATATATATTATATTCTTCTTTTTTATCAGCTATCCGACTTTGCAACATCTCTCCAAGAAGCGTCCGGATATTCCCATTTATGTTGGAAACACTTCACGTCCGGTTTTCTGGTGAGACCCACATCAAGCTTTTCTTGCAACTCACATGAAAAAAAAATACTTTAGTAATTAATGGTAAATATTATGTTTTAAAACCATAGTGAAGTGTATTATACTGTCTATATTATATGTAAAACACTAGAAATAAACTAGCATTTGACTAGCATTTTTATAGCTGATCACATCTCATAACTCATTTGCAAATGTGATTTGTAGACCATCCGACAAAACAACAGCTTGCATTTTAATGTCATTGCAGGTATCTGGAGAAAAGCGGAGTGAATTTAACAAACATCAACGTTGTGCCGTTCGGTGTGTGGCAGAATGTAAGATACTCATGCTTTTGTTTTTGTATTTATGCTTCCTATGTTGTGCATTTATTAAATTTGTCTCGTTTTAAAGGTGGATGATCATCTGAGGTTCATGATCCTGATGGATGGCGTTCATCCTGAAATGGACACCTGCTTAATAGTGGAATATAAAGGTATTTTCGCTGGTGCTTTTATTTCTCTAAACCTCACTCTCTGTTTTGTCTCACATTGAGGAGGCAATAATCACTTATATGTTACTTAGTAGTTCAAATAGTTATAAACTAAACGTACGATAAGAACAATGTGATGGCAGAGCGAGGCTGCCCTTATCTGTCATGAGATATAAAGCGCACGTTACAGTAAAATTGACAGAAGTATAACAGCAAAGGCAAAGTTCGGCTGAAGGAAAGCAGCATTGATAATCAGGCTGTAAAATAGTGACAGCTGGTAAATTACAGCTTAACAAACACACTCTTCAAATATTTTCCAAGTGATGTTTAACAAAGCAAGGATAAGCTACATGGTGTGTTCTTCTGTTCTATTTGTCTTCTGACTTATTTCGTTTAGTTTGGCTGGAATAGTTTAAACAATTTAGGCACAAGATATAATCAAGTCTGTGACTTTAACCCTTTGATGCACAAGCTGCAGAACCACTTCTGATGCACGACATGAGTCTAAAATGACCCACGTACAACTTAAGGGTGCTGTATGTAAGTTTTTGACTCTTCTAAAGCATTAAAATACCATATATGTGTGTAGATATTTCAGAAACATGCCAGGTGAACATTCTTGTTCATCTGAAAAACAATGATGAAGTCAGATATTCTGCTTTGAAAATGTGCATTACATGCCGGAAACCCGCTCAATGCTAGTTTAGTCATTTATATTTCAGTACCCCGGGTTGTCTTGGTGGAAAACAGAGTATGTCATTCATTCAGTCATGAAGGCTCTCAAAGCATGCGCCCGTGACCGAAATGCGACCTCCGGTGGACAGTAGCAGACTCTGAAATGAGGCGTAGATTCAGAGTTCCACATGAGGTTATTAATAAACAATTAATATAAATATTACAAATGTAAACATTGGGTGAGCAGGTTACATTGCAATCCTGTCATGACGAGATTTGCAGTGATAAGCAATTTGCTGTTTACACCAGACAAAACACAACTGAAATGTAAATACAGCCATTCAGAAGCACAGAATAGTGCACTCACTGCACTCCAGCGAAATGGTCAGGTTTACAATCGAATTAATATCAATGAAGCCTCTTTAACATGATTAAATCGATGCTGAATGGCTGATATGTGTTGGTTTGCACTGAGTCTCAGTATTCTAAAGTTTAATTTCAAGCGATTTATTTTATTCTCCAGATCTGAGGTGAACTATCTGCTGCTGCTTCATACCTGAGCTGATCATTGTCAGTTTTCTGTTGTTAAGCTGTAAGAAGTAGAAGCCGTTTCTAAAATACATTTCAGGTGTTGGTTAGGACTAAAACCCTTTAATATGGAAATATTCCTTATATCGTGTGCCGTTGCTTTTAGTTAAAACATGATTAATATCAGCCTTTACGCTCGACTGTTGATCCTCAATCTGGCAACCTGCCCTAGCGTTTGTTTTGATCCAGAAATGCAAAATTTAGTTTATCCACTGGGTGTCAAACTTTAATATTGCACCTTTAAAATGGGATATATCACTGGGAAAATGGGTTGAAAGCATTTCAGATAGATGACCTGATTTTATTGCTAAAAAATAAATAGAAGATGCTCAACTGATGCTGAATTTTCCAACAGTATCTCAATGCAGCCTTTATGATGCAAGCTGAGATTGAATCGCTCGAAAAAGCAATGTCAGACACGATGCACTAAATGGAGTTAGTGACGTCACTGTGAGGGGTGGGGTTAGGGGTGGGGTTAGGTGAGCGCACTAAAAAGCATTGCATGCAGCTCAGATTGCATCTGCACCGAGTCTGCATCCAGACCCCTCTCCAATTTCCAGCATTGTTACTGCAGAGTTCAGAATCACACAATCTTTCAGAAAAGCAATAAGACAGTATTAAAACCCTTCTCAAGGTCACATGATCCTGAATACAGTCGACTGCACCAGACCAAACAATGGCCGTCTTCCTCATGGTGTGGATGTGATGATGAGTGACTTCGCAGGCGGCGCCTCTGGATTTCCCATGACCTTCCATGGTGGAAAATACACCGGTAACTTACACAGCAAGAGCTTTACACCAAAACTGTGACTTCTCTATATCTAACTGATATAACTTCATTAATTAGCATGTCATTTACATATTTCTAACATGATAATTTGATTTAGGCACGTCTTTATTTTTAATCTGCATTTTGCTAGCATGATTTCTTTCTTTTGACAGAGAGCTGGAAGGCGAATTTTATCAAGAACGAGAGGAAGAAGCTGTTGAACTACAAGGCGCAGCTGGTCAAATCTCTGCAGCCGAAGATCTACTGTCCGTTTGCTGGATATTTCACTGAAGCTCACCCGTCTGACAGGTGCAGTTAATGTTTAACTATAGCAAGAATGGATGCATTTGCAGTGTTCATTAACAGTAACATAAGCCCTTGATTGTGACAGGTACATAAAGGAGACAAACACGAAGAACAGTCCAGCAGAGCTGAACGAACTGATAAGGAAAAGCTGCCTGAACACTTTAACCTGGACTCCTCTACCTGGATCTGTCCTGGATTTAGCTGTGGCTCTGAATAACCGATCCAATGAGTGCGTTTACATTAGTTTAGCATTTAGAATATTGATATAGCTTCAATTCATTAGATCAACAATCAGTGCCATGAGATCAGATTCTATTTCAAATGTTGCTGTGTTTTTGCCATGTTTATTATATTTGTTTTGTTCTGTCATATTTAAATTAGTCTATAACTAGTTTTATTTAGGCTTATGTTATTTTTAAAAAACAAGGTAAACATTCCTTAACATCATACGCTGATATTTATTATTAGCATAAACAGCATGTTGAAGTCGACCTATAAAACATGTAAAAAAATAAAAATAAGAAAACATGTTGGCCACATGCAAATTCATGCTAAAACATGTTAATTCATGCTAAAACATGTTAATTCATGCTAAAAACATGTTAAGTCATACTGAAAATATGTTAATTCATGCTAAAAACATGTTTATTCATGCTGAAAACAGGTTAATTCATGCTGGAAACATGTTAATTCATGCAAAAACATGTTATTTCATGCTGAAAACGTTAATTTATGCTATCCATATGTGATAAAACATGCTAGCAACATATTAATTGATGCTTAACAACATCTAGTGATGCTAGAAGGTTGTCTGAAACATGCTAATGTATGCTAAAAACATGGTACTACATGCTATCCATATGTGCTAACACATGCTAACAACATGTTAATTAATGCTGAAACAAGCCAGAACGTGAATTAATTCAAACAACGTCTAGTGATGCTAGAATGTTGTCTGCAACATCCTAATTTATACTAAAAACATGGTACTACATGCTATCCATATGTGCTAAAACATGTTAACAACATGCATTCATGACACCCCCCACTTTTCAATTCATGTTGTTTACATGTGAAACAAGCTAAAACATGAATTATTTATAGCAATGTCTGGTGATGCTAGAATGTTGTCTGCAACATGCTAATTCATGCTAGTTACAGATGAACAAAATGTTGTCATATTGCTAAAATATTTATCATGTTTTATTACATGGCTAACATGATTTAGCATGTTGCTATTAGCATAAATGAACATGCTAAACACTAATCACTGTTGTTGCATGTTTTAGCATGTTGTTAACAGAATTTAGCATGCTAAAATATTTCCCATGCATGGCTAGCAAGAAAATTGCTGAAGATGTTAATTCATGAAAACATGTGCTGGCTATACTAGAATCTTGCAGAATCTAGTGACGTATTAGCCATGTGCTAACAAGCAAAAGAAGCATGTTAAGATCACATCTGAGTAAATTAGCATGCCACACATCCGTCATTTCTGTTTTTCCATCTGCTTGATTTTCTCTTTGCAGAACTGCCATCACTGATCCGCCTCATGGCACAAAGATCTACAAGGACAACTGGGAGTTTGACCTGTATTTGAATCAATTGAACGCCTCCATTTCAGCTGAAATCTTCAAACACAAGCACTGGATCCAGTATTATTATAACTGGGCAGGATTCAGAAACTACAATCTGGTCATCCGGGTAATTAACTCACATTGATTACCTATTTTATTATGCTAACCCTTACTAAACACATTAGCCATGCAGAAAAACATAACAGCCATGAAAAAACAGAAATGTTTAAACAAACCGTGCTTAACATGGACAGCCACATGGTATAAGTATCAATAACATCCTCATTTATGCTCACTAAATATTACAAATGTCTTAAACATAAAGCTAATTTATGCAAGCAACAAGTTAAAACATGTTAGCTCTGCATGATAAATATTCTAACATGCTATTTCTCGCTAAAAACGTTAAAAAATACAAGCCATCTTCTTAAACAATAATAAAACTTTTTTAGGAAGATGTTCATTTATGCTAGCAACATAGCAATGCATGTTAGCCTGCACTAAATATGACAAATGTTTTAACATGCTAATCTAAGCTAGCAACATAAGATTTATGCTAGCAACGAGTTCAAACAAATTACCCATGCATAGTAAATATTCTTATATGCTATTTGTTGCTAAAAACATGTTAAAACAAACATGCAACCCATCTTCTACAACAATAGTGAAATGTTTCAGTAAGATGTTACTTTATGCTAGTAGCAACATGCTTATTTATGCTAACAACACGGTAATGCATATTAGCCTGCACTAAATATCACAAATGTTTTAAACATGCTAATTTATGTTAAAACATGTTGTTAGCCCTGCATGATAAATATTCTAACATGCTATTTGTTGCTAAAAACATGCTAAAACATGCAAGCCATCTTCTACAGAAATAGTGAAATCTTTCAGTAAGACATTACTCTATGCTAGTAAAAACATGCTAAATCATGCTACCTATGCTCATTTATACAAACAACATGTTAATGCATGTTAGCCTGCACTAAACATGACAAATGTTTTTAACATGCTAATCTAAGCTAGCAACAAGTTTAACATGATACCCATGCATGGTAAATATCCTAACATTCTATTTTGTGCTAACAACACGATGAAACATGCAAGCCATGGTCTACACAACAATAGAGAAATGTTTCAGCAATGTGTTTGTTTATGCTAGTACCAACATGCTAAATCTGTTAGCCATGTAGGAAAACATGTTAAATATTTTCACAAAATGCCAAAACTTACACTAAAAACGTGATAAAAACATGGCCAATAGCAACATGCTAAATCATGTTAGCCATGCGATAAACCATGCTAAATATGTTATCAATATGGCAAAGTTTATGCTAAAACCATGCTAAAACATGCAAACCATAGTCTGCAACAACACAAATACTTCAGCAACGTTCGTTTGTCCTCAAACATGTTAGCATGCTCTACAACACAGAGAAATATTTCATCAACATACTAATTTATGCTAGTAGAAACATGCTAAATCATGTTAGCCATGCAATAAAACATGATAAATACTTTAAAAATATGTCAAATCTTGTGTTAAAAACATGGTTTGCAACAACAGAGACATAGCAACATGTTTAGTCATGCTAGCCACAGATGTGCTAAAGTTTTTCTGCATCAGGTCATTGAGACGGATGACGATTTCCAGCCCCTGAATGGAGGTTTTGATTATCTGGTGGATTTCCTGGATCTTTCATTCCCCACGGAGCGACCAGAGAGAGAACATGCATACGAGGAGGTAATGTGAAGAGTACACCACACTAATGAAGCACATAGAAAGCTAATGCTAAGTGTGTCGTTAACTGTATGTGTGTGTGTGTGCGTGTTTTCAGATCAAGAACCGTGTGAATGTGATGAGGCATGTGGTTGTGAATGGACTGCTGTGGGACGATCTGTACATCGGCTTCAACAACAGAATGAGCCGAGACCCTGATGTTTACCATCACAAGTAAAACATACACACTACACAATACAATAAAATAACATTCATTCATTCATTCATTCATTCAGTTTTCAGCTTAGCCAATTATTTATCAGGGGTCGCCACAGCGGAATGAACCGCCAACTATTCCAGCATATATTTACACAGCGGATGCCTTTCCAGCTGCAACCCAGTACCGGGAAACATCCACACACACTCATACACTACGACCAATTTAGTTAATCAATTCCCCTATAGCACATTTGTTTGGACTGTGGGGGAAACCAGAGCACCCAGAGGAAACCAACACGGGGAGAACATGCAAACAACACACAGAAATGCCTACTGAAACAACTGGGACTCGAACCAGCAACCTTCTTGCTGTGAGGCAATTGTGCTAACCACTGAGCCAACGAATCAAAAATTAGATGCATATCAAATGGAATTATTATGGGACAAGCTGGAGAAAAAAAACAAAGGAGATTGACATTGAAGATTTGTATTAATATAATTTTTAATAGAATAAGTTTAGTTATACTCATGAAATATGTGTTTATTTATGGAAATCTGATGTAAAATTAGGGCTTATATGTATGTTTAAGGTCTCACTTTAAAGGGTCATGAAACCCCCCACTTTCGGTTGAGGTCTACCTCAGAATTTTTTTCAAAACACGCATCATAATGGGCGTGGAGCTTCGCAAGCAAAGGGCAGGAGTGGGCGTGGCCAGCAGGGAAGAAGGAGGGGAGCGTGCAGATATTTTTATTATAGTTTTGATTTGTAACATATTAGGTATTTATTATTCACTCTCATTTAAATAAAAAAACAATTAAAAACATTTGACAAATTTCACTTAAACTTATTTTATTTCAGTTTGTATTTTTAAAAGTTTTAGTTAACATAAGATAAATAAAATAAGATTTTATATCTAATATTTTTCACTTTTGGTCAAATAATGATGCCTGATTTTAGTTTTAGAAGCTTTATTATGTACTATTGTCATTTTTTGCTATTAATATTTTATAAGTATATTTCTGTTTTATTTTAGTCCTAGTCAGTTTAATATATGGATATTTGTAATTAACTTTAAATATATTATATATCAGTTTGTTATATAGGCAGTATATACAGTATCTGAGTGTTATTAACAATACATTAATATAAAGCACCTTTAAAAGTAGCATCTCAAGGCACTGTACAGAGAGATAAAATGTGCAGCTGTAAAAGAAACATACAAGAATAAATACAAAGACAAAATGTAATAATTAAAAATGCACAAAGTAATAATAATAGAACTAAAATCAAATAATACAATCCAAATGATTACATAGTATAATTATTTAATCCAACACACATTTAATTTATACACCCTAAAAAATGATAGGATCAATTAGTCCTGACAGCATGTGTACATTTAGTTCATTGTAACCTATTAAACTAAGTTAATCAAGTTCTAACTTAATTTTCTAAGTTAACCAAGCTGTTTTAAGTCAGTTTAACATAATATAAGCTCAATGGACTCATAAGATTAATTTGATTCAGCTTAAAAATATGACAAAAAGGATTTTTTTATAGTGAGAAAAAATTCTTAAGACATTTAGTCTCATTTTCTAAAACATGTATACAAAATAAAACATTTCAAAATACATTTTACGCAAGCAAGACCTTTATTTTGAAATATTGTAAGTAATTTTGCTTGTTTATTTCTTTTGCGCCTTTATTTAAGCACGTTTGAATATTTATACTCTAAAGCAGGTCTGGGCAGATCTAAAGCTTCATTTTGGTGGAAAAACACTGAAGTACAGACAGAAATTGCTTAAAAATTGCTTATTATGCTTCTTTAAATTTAAAATTTATATTTATATATATATATATATATATATATATATATATGTACATATTTTTTTTTTAGGTTCTGGAATCACTTTCAGACTGAATTACCCCTTTCGGCTCCAGATTGGCAACATTTCCTTCAAATCTGCAGCCAAACACAGGAGAATGGGAGCAGTAATGGATGCAGCGTCTCTTAACACTCAGACGTGCTCTTTGATTTGTCTTATTTTTATACCTTCGGACATTGATCACTACTGCCTTAAAGGGACGTTTCACCCAAAAAAATATCTGCACAGGTTTTGTTATGATAATGATGTTGAATGATTGCTTGTTTGCACTGGTTGTGATCTTTCTGAACTTTTATACCAGATTAAATCTAATTTATCACTGTCATGTTGTTAATTGATTATGGACGAAAGGTGTTTTTGTCCAATGTTTCATCCCAGTTCAATTACTATGAACTCTCCCTTTAAGAATCACTGTAATTAGATTATTTATAAAGAAACTCTTCAGCACTTTTCAATAAAATCATTTCTAAAAACCTGAGAGCTGACTGAGAATTTGTGATTTAAACTCTCATAAATTCAATAAAAAAATTATTCATAATTAGTTTAAAATATTTAATTAATTATTTGAAATGTTTTATTTAAAACAAATCCCATACAGTAATTTGTAATAAAAAACAAATCTTGTCAGTGTCATTTATTGAGTCTGCAGTTATGTTCCTGATAATAACCATCACTAGATATGTTAATTAAAAGGCGCCCTCTAGTGCACATAAGGTGATATGGTTTGTGTTCGAACCTGCTAAAAATGGTCATGGCTTAGCAGAAATGAACACTACAGGGGGCGCTAATGTGCGTTGATCTCTGTGTTTTTATCTATGATGTTTAACAGAGCAATGTTCACAGTATAATATTTTTTAATAGAGAAAGTCTTATTTGTTTTATTTTGGGCTAGATTAAAAGCAGTTTTGAATGTTTTAAAAATAATTTTAATCTATCTATCTATCTATCTATCTATCTATCTATCTATCTATCTATCTATCTATCTATCTATCTATCTATCTATCTATCTATCTATCTATCTATCTATCTATCTATCTATCTATCTATCTATCTATCTAACATTCCATCCATCCATCTATCTATCTATCTATCTATCTATCTATCTATCTATCTATCTATCTATCTATCTATCTATCTATCTATCTATCTATCTATCTATCTATCTAACATTCCATCCAACCATCCATCCATCCATCCATCCAACCATACATCCATCCATCCTTCTATCTATCTATCTATCTATCTATCTATCTATCTATCTATCTATCTATCTATCTATCTATCTATCTATCTATCTATCTATCTATCTATCTATCTATCTATCTAACATTCCATCCATCCATCCATCCATCCATCCAACCATCTTTCTGTCTATCTATCTATCTATCTATCTATCTATCTATCTATCTATCTATCTATCTATCTATCTATCTATCTATCTATCTATCTATCTATCTGTCTATCTGTCTGTCTGTCTGTCTGTCTGTCTGTCTGTCTGTCTGTCTGTCTGTCTGTCTGTCTGTCTGTCTGTTAGTCTGTCTGTCTGTCTGTCTGTCTGTCATTTATTGATATATGTCTGTGCAGTTATGTTCCTGATAATAACCACCACTAGATATGTTAATTAAAAGGCGCCCTCTAGTGCACATAAGGTGATATGGTTTGTGTTCGAACCTGCTAAAATTGGTCATGGCTTAGCAGAAATGAACACTACAGGGGGCGCTAATGTGCGTTGATCTCTGTGTTATTATCTAGATCAGATACTATATTTAATATTACAATAGGATATTAATTTAAATGACTTTTATCAGATAATATATTTTCTTAAATAGTTTAAGTGCACATTTTAATTGTAAATTAATTGTAAATAATTTTTTATTATTTAAATAAAATGTTATTAAATTATGTAAAATATTGTTGTTTATTTTTAATAGATTTATTTTAAAAATCAGCAAACCATACATTTTATTTATGGGGAATAATATACTATATAATTAAAATTCACATCAAAATAAAATTATTACCAAAAAAATGTAAAAAATTTACTCAAAAATAAGAATCTCTTGATAAAAGCAGTGATCGAACGAACGTAAAATGCAAAACAAACACTCAAAAAAAATACTGCTGCTTGTTAAAACGACTTACTTAAATTTGTACCAGCGATTAAATAAACAATCAATTTGTGTTAGGACAACATGAAGTAGTTCTGTAGAATGTTTTTACAGCGAATGACAAGTTTTCACGGCATTGACTGATGTCGAAATGCAGTCTTTAAGCTATGATACATTGTGGTTTTTGGCCTCATATATAAATAGACTTCCTCTAAACTTAACAGCAGAAGCGAGTGCCAGATGTGTCAGAAATGAGTTCATGTTTTCAGCTGTTGATCTCTGCCTGCTTTCTGCTGGGTGTTTTCTCCAGCGAGTATCTATTCGACATCACAGATCGGGCATTTATCGATGAATGTGTGCGAGAACACAACCAGAACCGCAGCAGCGTTTCACCCACCGCAGCTAACATGCGATACATGGTAAATAACCTCAATACACTCATGGAATTGCTGGAAAAAATGTTTTGTTGGATTTACTAAGTTTTTTTTAAGGTAAGTGACTGCAAACTGTTTATTTGGGCTCTATTGAGTCTAACAAAGCAAATTAGATTTAGCAATGTTCAACTTCATGTGTTTAAATTCAGCCCATATAAATCCCATTTAACATTCAGTTTCCCTTGGAACTGCCTCATTATAGACACTTATTTTTTGACCAGTGTTGGGGGTAACACATTACAAATACGCTGACTATTACGTAATAACATTACTTTTCTAAGCAACGAGTTAAGTAAAGCATTACTTTATTTAAGTAATAATAATAAGTAATATTTGAGTTACCTTTTTGAAAATGTAACTCGAGTTATTTTTTTTTATTTAATTATTAAGCCTTTAAAAACAAAATTGCTAAATTAAAATTAAAGTAGTCCGAATGAATCACGCAGCCAACAAAAGAATGTGCTCATTACATTGAACGCATTGAAGAAAAGGACAAGGGGATCGTCTCAGTGTACAGTGATTAAGACAAATAGTACAAAAGTAGCACACTGTTTTAAACTTTCTTTAATCTGTAGATACAGCATGCATAGCCCCGGGGTCATGAAGCTCTCTTAGATAATATTATCCTAAAAATATTTATTTCTGTGTAGATTTGTTTAAGGTAAATGAAGCTGTAGGTCATACAGTACATCATCACGCATAGCTCCTCTATTAAAAAAAAGAAAGAAAAAAAGTGAGGAGTTCAGATGCAAAAACCTTTAAGTGTCGTTTGAAATTTCCATTGAAATGGAATTATTCTTTGCCATAAAAGTGACATTACTGAACCTACACCCAAGAGCCTGGTAAAAACAATTCTCATTTTAGAAGAACATTTCAGACTGCATTTAAAGGTTTTTGCATCTGAACTCTTCAAGTTCTGAAAGTGAAAAAGCCTTAGCCAAATAAGTAACTCAAAAGCAAGGCAATGCATTACCTACAATAAAATTACTGAGTAACACAACTAGTCACTTTTCTTAGAGAGTGACTCAATATTGAAATGCATTACTTTCTAAATTAACGTTCCCCAACATTGGTTATTATGCATTTAATGTCATCAGCATCTTAAACCCTTGAAAGTTTTTAATATTCAAATTTTTTCGTTTAAGTGTGAACATTTACTTGTGTACGCATGTAATCTTTGCATCAAATTACAAAATATAAATTAGATTAAAAGGGCAAACTATTGATTTTTTTGTTAACAACATGCACAGATGAATTGTTCAGCACAAAACTAGCAATGCGAACTGACGAAATCAACATGGTTAGTTTTAATTTCATGTATACTTTAATACAGCCCTGTGTGTGTGTGTGTGTGTGTGTGTGTGTGTGTGTGTGTGTGTGTGTGCAGACGTGGGACGCAGCGCTGGCAGTGACGGCGCGGGCCTGGGCTAGATTCTGCCTCTTCAAACACAACATTCACCTGCGGGAGGCAAAGCGGGTTCATCCCACATTCACCACAGTGGGAGAAAACATCTGGGCCGGAGCGCCGTACAGCAGATTCACTGTCAAATCAGCAGTGTTTTCATGGGTCAACGAGCTTAAAGATTACAACTACAACAACAATCAGTGCAATGACAAGAAAGTCTGCGGACACTACACTCAGGTAAAACAAATCATAAATTTAACCCCCTGTGTATTGTTCAATTGACTCCCCTTTCATTATGTTGGGGGCTGTTTTTGCCCCATTGACTTCTATTATAATCACATATTTTGGTCATTTTTGTTGATGGTCCGTTTGTTACATTGCATCTACATGTCAACTAATTCTCATTAGATTACAAGTAGACTGTTAGGGTTGGGGTTAGTGTAAGTTGACATGTACTTGCAAGGTGTCTTATAGTCAGTTAAATGTCTGTTCAAGGAGCAGTATCAGCAGATATTAAGCAGACAGTCTACTAACACTCAAATGAACCATCAAAATAAAAGTTAGCCATTTTTTGATTGCAAAGCCATGACAGCATATAATTATGCATTCTTGATTGTTGCTGGTATTGCCTGTTACAGGTAAATTCAGGTACTCGCATACGGTTTTAAAAAAATTTTGAGTTCGGACATACTACTCGGCTTGCATACTGATTTTAACATAACAGGGGACCTCAAACTCAGTCCTGAAGGGCCGGTGTCCTGCAGTGAAGGATTCTGATTTATATCTTCCAATCCGTCTCAGCATGGATCAACGTTTATCCTTTTCTCATCATCCTGTTTCTCATTATTTTTATAAAAGATGATTATTGAAGAATGAATAAAGTTAACACATTGCTTAATATTAGAATGTTCAGTGCATTTGCCTGTCTCTTTGTGACTATTTTCAAGAGCCACCAAACTAAATCAGAGGTCACGGAGATCTCGAGTGGAACTGAAGGGCTGAGGACTGGAAGCAACTGTTTCTATTGTTATAGTGGTTAATACTATCCTAAATGTCTAAAGTGATTTTGCTGTTTTTACAGTTAATTCTTTTAAAGTGATTCTACTTTTTAATCAAGATAGACTTTGTGTAGTAAGGATATAACCGAAAGAAAGATGAAAAATGAACTGGATTGCAAACACTTCATATGGACTGAATTCAAACAAACAAATTAAAATACATTACTAAATTTTATTTGCTTGTTTAAATTCAGCCCATATAAATTGTTTGCAACCACTTACCTTACAATAGATTTTGTAAATTTAATGTAACATGCAGCTCAACTCCTTGTTCAAGCTCTTGTTCTCTCCAAACTGGATTACTGCAACTCTCTACTAGCCGGGCTTCCAGCTAACTCTATTAAGCCTCTTCAGCTGCTCCAGAACGCAGCAGCACGAGTGGTCTTTAATGTACCTAAAAGAGCACATGTCACTCCGCTGCTAGTCCGTTTGCACTGGCTGCCAGTTGCTGCTCGCATCAAATTCAAAGCTCTGATGTTTGCCTACAAAGTGACTTTTGGCCTTGCTCCTTCTTATCTGCACTCACTTCTGCAGATGTATGTGCCTCCAGAAACTTGCGTTCTGTGAATGAACATCGCCTCGTGGTTCCATCCCAAAGAGGGAAGAAATCACTTTCCCGAACTCTCGCATTCAATCTGCCCAGTTGGTGGAATGAACTCCCTAACTGCATCAGAACAGCAGAGTCACTCGCTACTTTCAAGAAACGACTAAAAACTCAACTATTTAGTCTCCACTTCACTTCCTAATCTGCAATTGCCTCTCTGGATATCACACTAACCGCACCCAAAAAAAAAAAGTACTAATACTTTCCTTCTTAGACTTTACATACCTGAAACTTGCCTACAGCACTTATTCATTCTTGCTCTTATAGTTGTGTAAGTTGCTTCCTTGTCCTCATTTGTAAGTCACTTTGGATAAAAGCGTCTGCTAAATGACTAAATGTAAATGTATCAAATATCGAATGCTCAAAGAATCATGCATACAAAAAAATACTTACATTTAATTGTAAAAAATAAGATTTGGACAGGTAAACCAACATTTCCAACAAAAAAGATAGAAAGTCTTGACTTATAGGCAGTTTTTGCTGGTTTCAGACTCCAGCTCAGTGTCATGATCAGCCTGTTTTGTGTTTCTGCAGGTTGTTTGGGCAGATTCCTATAAGGTTGGCTGTGCGGTTCAGACCTGTCCAAATGGTGTGGCCGAAACACACTTCTCTAATATACAAGGAGTGATATTTGTGTGCAACTACGCAACTGCGTAAGTATAAACACTAAATACATAAGAGCATTTCCTAGAGCAACACTGCAGAAAACTTCAGAAATCAAGCTAATAATTTTTTTTTACACTAGGAGATTGGTTATTAACTGGTATAAATCTGACCATGTTTAATTTTAAAATGAATATTTGGTGTTTATTCACTACTTTGCTAATTGTTTAATAAAGGTGTTTTTAATTTGACAGTATATGAGCATAACAATGAAAAATCGTATGTAAAGTTTTAAATCTCGCTGTTGTTAATTGATCTAAATCAAGCAAGTTTATGCTCAAATCAACAGTACATACATATATAGAGAGAGAAAGAAAGAGAGAGAGAGAGAGAGAGAGAGAGAGAGAGAGAGAGAGGAAATTAGTAATTTTTTCAACACCATTGATAAATATTTTTAATTGTTTGAGGCTTAACCATAAAGTAAAGAAACTAACATGCTATATAAATTTGCTTCGTAAGTGATGCATATTTTGAATTATGCATTGCAATGTTGTAGAATTTATTGGGTTGCAAATAATTATTATCACTGAACTGTTTTATTATCATTATTATTTATTATTTGAATTTTGGTGGATGTTTTTGTAAGCTGTTCTATTTTAATTTAGTTTATATCTATTTTATTAAATATTGTAAATATATATTATATATATTGTATATATATATATATATATATATATGAGATATAGATTATAATTTTAAGATTATAACAAGTTAGTAAATAAAACCTCATTTGGATGTGTGGTAAACTATGAAGCATACATACAGTGCTCACATAAATGGGTTCATTTCTCACAGATCTCTCTCTTTTAAATGAATATTTTCTAATATATGATGATTTACAATAATACATTAGGGCATTAACATTAAATTAGTCAGTGGCAAAGACACTGAATTTAACAACAAATCTAAAATATTAAATAAAATATAGAATAAAATGTTATTAACCGCATAAAATATAATATTTAGTTGACAATTTGTTGTATGTAATTTATTTGCAATGCCTAACTTGAATTTAAATGCATTATTTATTGTTTTCTAATGATGTTCAGTGATCAAACTCTTATTTAAATGAGTATAACAGTTGAATAAATATTTAAATGCACCAAAAATTTGTCTATATTCACTAAGAAATAGATACAAATATTCATTTTAAAAGGATGTGTACTCATTTACACTGCATGCATTTGTAAATAAAGAGCCACAAAAGGCTTTTCTACATGAAGCAGGAAATGTAATCATTGCTCAATCTTGTTTGCAACAGAGGAAATTTCGCTGGTAGGTCTCCATACAAACAGGGCGCTTCATGCAGCGGCTGCGGCGGCTCAGACAAGTGTGAACGAAATCTCTGTCGTAAGTGTAAAAAAAAACAGCATACGCTTCACTTGATCATTAGCTGTACTTTACATCTCTCAACTTCCTCCGCAGGAAACACCGACCGAGATGCAGAGCAGAGTAAAACACACCTCACTAAACTCTTACACTCATGATCATTCTTACTGATGTCTCAATGCTC